GCCTGACCTTTCATTCATACTTTCTCAGACTCTTCTACTTTGGAGGGGCGTCACGTTGTCTTGCCTCCAGTTACATCAGTGCCGATGTCACGTGTTCTATACTAAACGACACAGCTTTCAAAACACCCTAGAACATGTAGAATTGACCCAAACCCCTCCTACCCACAGCCTCACCCTAGGTCACACAAGAGACTCTTTTCAAAGAAAGCAGTGCAATGTGACACCCCTCTGACCTAGATCAGAGAGTGTGCAGATGGACCCAGAAATGTGAACAGATCCCCCAAATACTGTTCCGACTAGCGAGGAAGTCAGTGGGCAACTACATCGTTGATGTGCCGGGTTGTGCCTTTTATAACTCACACAGAACCCACAACCTGATCCCCTTTTCTGATCTGTTCTGTGCAGGCTTTTCAAAATCATAGATAGGGTTCAGTCCATCACCTTTAGCTTTTCTCCTTCACATCAGCCTTAGGGTTTATCATAGAAGGATAAAATGCTACAGAAAGTAGGTCTGCGAGCTTCACAATATAACAAACACAAATGTGAACTTCATCAGCACATACGTAAATCAAACAAAGCCACAAGAATGCACGAGATCACTTAACTGACAGATCCTGAAGTAGCCACTCTGATGTCTTGCTAGTGGAATGAAAAAAGCTCTCTATGCCCGCCTGTACACAACCCAGAAATGCCAAGGACCGTAACTCGAGAATTTTATATGACACTGTGTTGACAGTTCAGTTCCCTGGATGTGAGCATTCCCAAAGTGAAAATAACATGATTCTCAAGAGACTTTCGGAATCTGTCGCTGGAGTAGCTAAATTTTATGGCTGTCACCTCCATGTTGTGGACACCTAGGTGATCCTGGGAATTGAAGTTTTGTCTCGAGCGACCTCATTTTCTTAATCCGTTTTGGCTGACCGCAGTGTAGAGATGTCACTGAAGATGATGATTTATGGCCACTCGAGACTTGTGCGAATAGCAAGACGATTAGTTAACCTCATTACACAGGGTACCATCAATATGGAGACTCTTCGCTCGCTGGTGAAAGGGGAGAGGGAGCTAATATGGGCTTATTCTGAATGCTGTGATGTCGAACCTTCCGCCCACTATTTCTTCCAGAAGTCAAACCCCTCATTTAGAGAGATCAGAAACAATTTGGAAAACAATCACAGGTTATAACCATGAAAAAGATTTCCTTAATCACCTGAACAGAACATATCGAGTCAGAGTTTTTCCTTATGTACTGGACATTACAGACTCAACACAAACTCTCATATAAATGAGGTATGAGCCAAACATTTCTCTGCCAGTGTCTTTGTACTGAACAGACTCAGGAACATGTCTTGCAAGATCATCCTCTCTTGGTGGAGCTGCGAAGCAACATGTGGCCACACCCAGTAGACCCGACAACGAAGCTCTGGGGAAACCTAAGAGACCTTGAGAGGACATCCCAGTTTATGGCCCACAATGGATTAAGCACACGGCCAGATATCACTCAAGAAGAAGAAGAAATCTTTACTCAGATGACCCAGATGATTAATGTATACCACTTGATGATCATGTTGAATTTATACCAACCTTCCTTTTAATTTTTAATTCACCACTGAACTTTTTATTGTATTCTGTGTTTTCCATTGCTTGAGCAGATTCTATTGGGCAGGCACCAAGCCACAGAGGTGAAAAGACTGTACTTGGGTCTCCCGGAGCCAGTTCTAGAAATTCTAAACTCTCACATTCCAGAGAAACTATATGTACTCACCACAACCAAGGTAGGAGATCTGTGTACAGTCACAACATTATATAGTGCTAGATTCAAATCACAGAATTCTGTAATATTACATTTATAATCATAACATTCTCTAATGTCAGATTCTTAATCGCAACATTCTGTTATGTCACATTCTTGAATTGCAACATTCTCTAATGTCAGATTCTTAATCACAACATTCCCTAATATCAGATTCCTAATCACAACATTCCCTAATGTCACATTCTCACACCAAAATTTTCTCTAATTTCAGATTATTAATCACAACATTCTGTAGTGCCAGATTCAAATCACAACATTCATTAAAGTCAGATTTAAATTACAACATTTTCTAGTGTCAAAATAATAATGAAGCATTCTCTAATGTCAGATTCATAATCACAGTATTTTGTAATGCCATCTGTTCAGTCATAACATTCTGTAATGCCATCTGTTCAGTCATATTCTGTAATGCCATCTGTTCAGTCATAACATTCTGTAATGCCATCTGTTCAGTCATAAAATTCTGTAATGCCATCTGTTCAGTCATATTCTGTAATGCCATCTGTTCAGTCATAACATTCTGTAATGCCATATATAACATTCTGTAATGCCATCTGTTCAGTCATAACATTCTGTAATGCCATCTGTTCAGTCATAACATTCTGTAATGCCATATATAACATTCTGTAATGCCATCTGTTCAGTCATAACATTCTGTGATGCCATCTGTCCAGTCATAACTTTCTGTGATGCCATCTATACAATCACAGCATTTTCTTATTCCATGGATACAGTCACATAATTCTAATACCATTTCTAAAATCTCAGCAGTTATGTATCAGATGGTCTCAGCGAACTTTTGGATGTTTTCTCCAGGTTATATTAGTGTGTTGGAAAATGAGCAGGCAGATAGACTGGCTATCTGCCTGGCTGTGCACCACTTGGTGGTGAATTGATGTATGACCAGTTAGATATTGTGAGGGCCCTTTGGGAGCGTGTAAACAGTGCGGAGTCACAGATAGATCATTACGGTCTAAGGAGAATGGCGCTGCGAGAAGTTACCAGGGGATCTGGCCGACACTCAACACTCAGGGGAAGAATGAGACGGATATACAATCAGACAGTTACTGGTACCATCGGAATTGGAACTCTTTGCTTGCGGTTGAAGATGGGGACTGAGCACTTATGGAAATGTCTCTAGTGCTGTGATGTTGATCCTTAATTTGAAATTCTCAGCTAACCTTTTCTGTGTACCCTCTAGGCATACCTGCTTCAGACCAATCACTGTGACAGTCTTAACACCTGCGATGACTGCATCGATGGAATAGACCCACTGTGTGGATGGTGTGTCATGGAGAACCGCTGCACAGTGAAACAATCCTGTCCTGCCTCAGACTTCAAGCCCCACTGGTTGTCTGCAGCCAAGGACACCTGCTTGCATATCTCAAATGTAGATCCTAGCATCATCAGTTACCAGACCCTCCAGAACACAGCTCCGAGAGATAAGGTGAGAACTGGTGCACTAGTTATCATCATTATCATCATCATCATCATCATCATCATCATCATCGTCATCAAGGGCCTTGCCAGCTGGCTTACACGTTCATGCATCTCCACAGATCTGTGTCTTTAATGTTCTGGATCAGTTCCAGTGGTGATATTCCTTTGCTTCTTGTCTTAAGCCATCCATCATCATTTCTCTTGGTCTGCCTCTGCTTCTTCCAGTGTCACAATATTTTATGTGCTCCTTTTCTCATCTCATGACCAAACAACTGTGTTTGTTTCCTTCCTATTATTGTATATAATGTTCTGCTTTCATCAGCCATTTGCAGGCAATCATTGTTGAACTAATACAACACTCTTTTTATGTGTCATTTCTACTCTGTTCAATGTACCCTTCTCCTTGGGCATTAGGTTGGAAGTTTTTTGACAATCTCTTCTTCTTTCTTCTTTTGTTCTACTGCTAATGATGTGAAGCATTGCAAAGATAAGTTAGATGTAGTTTTCTGTCTTTTGCTAGTTGTATAGCTCCTGGTAATGTCATATTGTGTTTCGGTAGTTTCTCTTTCACCCCATCCACCCAAGTCTTTCATGGTGGACCTCTTATCTTGGGACTGCTATTCTCATGTAATATGCTGTAGCTGCTAGCTGATTTTGTTCTTTTCTGATCACCTGACTATTTTGATTCTTTTATGTTCTATGAAATATAAAATACCGGTACTGCCTACCATTGTTCTTAGTTCTTTGTTGTTGAATCTCTTCTGGTTTTCCCCACCTCATTTCTTATACATCTCATCTCTCATGGTGTAATTTTGCGTCCGGGGAAGGGAGGTCTTGAGACATGGCATCCACCTCGAGTGTTGGAGGTCCCCAGTTCAGGCTGGGGTTATTTCAATTAGTAATTTCCCTTGTCTCTGGCTAGTAAGATCGGATGACCTTGCAATCATGGCACACGGGTAGTATCCCATTAGTGCTTTTATTCTTCTAACTCAAGTCTGAAATACTTTGGGTAGATTTTAAACTCCACCATTTGCCTGGGCAGTGCTGTTAGGCTATTCTTTTCAATTTCTAACTGACAAGGGATTTTTTACATGCACAACAATGCAAACGGGCGTCCGATCTCACTACCCAGAAACCAGGGGAAATTACTAGAAGTTCAAGTCCACATGAAAAAATACCAGCCCTTACTGGGGATTGAACCTGGAACCTCTAGCACTCGAGGAGGACACCATGCCTCGAGACCACGCAGCCCCTCCAGAATTATATAAAGATACATAAAGAGAATAATCATAAATAGTAACAGAGTGAAGCATTAAATGAAATACATTCTCTGGGCTTGAAAATTCGATTTTTTGGGTGACTGAAAATGACTAAATCCATGATCTTTATCACTGAGGCTGACGGGAAAATATGTCAGCTTTGATTTAAAACAGCTATTTGGTTCACGTGAAAACCCCCTAAAATGCCATGCTATATTCATCCTGACCTCCTGGATGTTTGCGCAGGTGCAAGTTCAGCCATTAGTATTATCTATGCATATTGTAAACGCATCACTTTAGACAAGTCAGAAAAGTGGCATTTATGGGGATTTTGATCCAACCTGAGATGTCAGTTTTGCAGCTTCTCTAAAGATGGGTTTTGTTACAGTTGGTTTTTAACAAAGGATTGCTTACCCTCAGCTGGAATACCTGTTTTGTTAACTGTTTTTTTTAAACAAAAGATTATTTTGAACATTTGTTTGTTACAGTTGCTGAAGTTCTCATTGGAATCAGTACTACTGACGCCCTCTAGTGACCTAGATCTGGGTTGTATGTACAAGTCTGGAGAGAAGCAGCACCGGACTCCAGCATCTATCTCTAACGATCGGCATGTAACTTGTCCACTCCCTGAGATGGATAAAATTTCTCAGATTTCCAAGGGTAAGGGTGAGTAAGGTTAATGTTGTGCCTTGATGTGCTGTATTCTGCAGTTGATAACATCTGTGACAAACTGGCAGATGAAAAGACAGGTTTGTGACAAACTAGCAGATGAAAAGACAGGTTTGGGACAAACTGGCAGGTGAAAAGACAGGTTTGTGACAAACTAGCATGCATACTGCATCCTGAAGATAGGTATATGACAAACTGGCATGTATGCTGCATCCAGCCATAGATATTCTCTGTGAAAAACTGGAATGTGTGCCTGTTCTGCTGAATATAATATTTTTTGACAAACTGGCATAGGCGCCTTGTACCGTTGTAGATAGTCTGTTTGACAAACTGGCATGTATGCTTGTTCTGTTTTAGATAGTCTGTTTGACAAACTGGCATGGGCGCTTGTTCTGTTGTAGATAGTCTGTTTGACAAACTGGCATGTTTTGTTGTTTTATGATGGGTAATCTCTTTGACTCTTAGGTATGCCTAATCTAACACAAAAAACATTGTTGGCAAAGTGCTTGGTTGAATTAAAAAATTCATACAAAATATCTGGATGGAACACTAACCTGCGAATTCCATGGTTTGTTCTCAAAAATCATTTATGGGAAAGGTAATACACTGAACTGACTAAAAGGCTTTAAAAAAAAAGATGAGAAGGAGAAGAAAAAAACCACACACAGACACAAGAACAATCGGACATTATGGCAGCAGCCTTCATCAACAAAAACTACAACAGCCTCTAATATCTGGCTGCTGCCTAAATTTCATGTTGTTCTTATAAGCCACACCCCGTCACCTTCCCACTTTTGTGAACTCCTTCAGCATGAAGCAGTGCATGATTTATATTTTACCTCCTTCTGCCAGATTTCTTTGTTATATTAGCACAGTCTTTACTACTTGCTTATTTAACTCTTTTGCCTGTTATATTAGCACAGTCTCTACTAGTTGCTAATTTAGTTCTTCTGCCCGTTCTATTAGCGCAGTCTTTACTAGTTGCTAATTTAGTTCTTCTGCCCGTTCTATTAGCACAGTCTTTACTAGTTGCTTATTTAACTCTTTTGCCTGTTATATTAGCACAGTCTCTACTAGTTGCTAATTACAGTGGGGTGCAATTTTTCGTTTTTTTGAAGCCCCACCCTGGCTTTTGCTGGGGGCCCTGTATATAACTGGGCGACAATTGCGGCCATAACGGCTGAAAGGGATTTCTGAGACCTCTCCACGGGTGATCCTCATCCACATGTGACTAAAATGTAATTTGTAGTTTCACATTTTGCTTTGATTTGGGTTGTGATTATGATGGAACCTGTACTACAAATAATTAGACAATCTTACTAACATTGTGTCATTAATAAGGTGAATATGTTGTTTCCTTTGTGTAAAAAGTATTGCAAGAAGTATGAAACCAGAAATGTCCATATTTGTGTATAATTCTGCTTCTGCTCTGTCGCATATATTAGTTTGTTAGACATTAGACAGTTGCTGAACTTTGAGGACATAGTGTAAAGCCATGTGGATGTGGAAAACAAGGGGAAACTACCACATTTTTATCCTTCGAAACTCATTATGGAAGCAGCATTCAAAGCCAATGATTAAGCACCAGCAAGGAAATCAAAATTTAAATTTTGAGAGCATGCATCTTCTCCTTAGCAACATACGGATATGAGTCCTGGACTATCTCCCAGTCCTTGAAGTCATCCCCAAAAGGGATAGAATTCTTTGTTATTTGAAACCCCACCCTAGCTTCTGCCAGGGGTCCTGAATATAGCTATATGGGGTTTCTGGGATCACTCCACAGGCAATCCTCATCTGCACTCTTAAGAAAGAAAATAAGGCCCTTTTAGATGAAATTCTATAGAAGGATTCTCAGAATACCATGGACAAAGAAGAGAAGAAATACTAACATTTTAAAAGATCTTATCAGGGAAAATTGGCTAATAAACAGTATCTTGACTAGAAAGCTTAAATATCTTGGTTATATCAAGCGCCATGGCGGATGGAAGGGTACCAGGAAGGAGGGGCAGGGGCCGACAAACAAGAAGATGGGCACAAGATATGTAAGTGACTCATTGAATATGAAAGTACATGAGGTGGGAGAGCTGGTGAGAAACCAAGCTTTTTTTCAAACAGACTGTGATGAGAGCAACGTTCTAGAAACAACCTGCTACATGATGATGATGATGATGAGACATAAGACTGAATTCATATCTGAGTTACTGTTAACATGTGTAACATTTTGTTAACATGTGCAACATTTTGTTAACATGTGCAACATTTTGTTAAAATTTCAGATCATGAGCAAGTCTCTGTACATTTCCATGTCAAAGGGAGGTCAATTGTTACAAGAAGTGTTTCTGTCTATGACTGCAATGTTCACACTTCGTAAGTAAAGTTAATCCTTCAGATGTGTTTGTTGAAACTCTTACACAAGTATTTTGGGTTAGTTGATGCAGATTTTTACAATAAGAAAAAGACAAACATTGTTCTTTGGCCACATAATGAGAAGAGAGACATTGGAGAACATTGTGACAACTGCAAAGATGAGTGGAAAAAGGGGTAGAGGCAGGCCAAGAGAGAAGATGCTGGATGGGCTAAAATGATGACATGGAGGGAATATAATCAAGAGACCTGTTCCAGGCAACCAGAGATCATGATCTGTGAAGATGCATGAGCACCTATGCCAGTTAGCAGGGCACATGATGATGATGATGCAGATTGAATGGCAATTCCGAGGGGTGATGTTTACATCATGACTACAGGAATACTTAACCACCAAGATGACAGAAATCTCAACCATCCAGATGACCAGAACGATTGCAGAAACAAACCCTGAGGTTCTCTAATCTCTAAGAAATATCTTCAGAAAAAGATTCATGAAGCATATTTGTTTTCAGTATTTGTCCAGTGCCCAGTATTTGTCTAGTGTCCAGTATTTTTCCAGAGTCCAGTATTTGTCCAGTGTTCAATATTCGTCCAGTTTTACAATTATCCAAACATTTTGGACACTGGATTCTCATTAATTGCCCAAGGAACATCTTTCCCTTTGTTTGTGTGTGATCACATCCCTGATATTTATAACAGTGTGAGTTATATAAAATAGGAGGACCATACTTTTTAATTTTCACGGGGACGGTATTTTTGTGTGTGTGTGTGTGTGTGTGTGTGTTATTTTTCTTTTTAAATTAAAAAAAAATTAGGCCCAGAGAAGAAAGTCAAAAAAAAAAAGGTGGCCAGGTTTTACTTCCCTTTCTATTTCAGATGTGAAAGCTGTGCACGCAGCACTTTTGGCTGCAAATGGTGCTATGTTCGTGGGAAATGTCTGGAGCCACGTGCTGGTTGTACAAATCTTGATGGAAAAACAGTAAGCAGTGCTTTTTCATTTTTAAAATGTCAAGTGCCAATATGAAATGATTGAGCAGACTTTCATCGTTATTCTTGGTCTTTGTTGTACACTAATACATATCAACATCATCATGTAGTGGGTCCTTTGCAGAATGTTGCTCTCATCATGGTCTGCCTAAAAGAAACTAAGTTTCTCATTAGCTTTCCTGCCTCATGTACTTTCATATTCAAGGAGTCACTTATATCCTGTGCCCATCTTCCTGTTGGTCGGCCCCTGCCCCTCCTTCCTGGTACCATGTCTTCTGAATTTTTTTCAATCTGTCATGGCGCTTGATATGACCAAAATATTTCAACTTCTGAGACAAGATGCTGTTTATTAGCCAATCTTCCTTGATGTTCAGATCTGTTGTATTTTAGTATTTTTTGTGTATGATATTCTGAGAATCTTTGTAAAGCATTTCAGCTCAGAAGCCTCTATTTTCTTTCTTAAGGACTGGATTCTATGAATGTATGTTCAGCGTCATGAAGTAAATTATTTTTTTGTGATGTCGTTGATGTGGTCATAGATCAGTGCATCAGTTGACATTTCCATTGGATCTGCTTCTGTAGTTATTCTAAGTTGACTGAAAAAAAAAAAAGGAAGATTTTGTTGCTTTTGATTTTGCCCATCAAATGTATTTGTCCAGGTCTTGTTTATCAATTTCATTTGTCCAGGTAGTTATAAGGTTCTGCTTCTTGCTCTTCTGACTACCTTGACCATAGACACATCGTGCTGATGTAGAGTTTCTCTGATGTTATCTTTCCATGGTATTCTTGGTCTGCCTTAAGCTTTGCATTCCTCTCCTCTCTTGGTATCACTGCCTTGTCATTACAATTTTATTTGCTGTTTTTATATGTAATTTAGTACTGCTTATGTACTCTGACTATTTCTCCTGAGACTTCATTCCCGATTTGATCTCTTCTGGTCACTTCTGCAGCCTTTCTCAGACATCTTATTGGCAACTAGACTACAGCTGGTGTAGTTCCAAATTAAAACTCATAGGATGGACAAATAACTGAGACTTTTGCAGTACATTAGGCCTATTCAGCTAAGTTCACTAGTGGGGCTGCGTTGTCTGGAGGCATGGTGTCCACCTAGAGAAGTAGAGGTTCCAGGTTCAATCTAGGAAGGGCTTGGATTTTTTCACGTGGACTTGGAATTCTAGTAAATCCCCCTGGTCTCTGGATAGTGAGATCATACTCAAGTGTGCATTGTTGCGCACATTAAAAAAAAAAATCCCTTAGTTAGAAATTGAAAAAATAAGCCTAATGGCCTTGCATGGGCACAATTTGGAGTTTGAAATCTACCCAAAGTATTTCAGGATCCTCGCCGGTGCTACAGAGCCTATGCTTTGTGCTGACCTTCTTGGGACTCAGGCTTGAGTTAGAAGAAGAACAGAGCAGTTATGGGTTACACCCATGTGCCGTGATGTTGATCCATTGTTCAAACCTCAAACTAAGTTTACTGAGGGACCAAACTTTTGTAAGAAGAGATCATCATGGGCCAGAAGTCTGAGCCCCAGCTTACAAAACGTCATGAATACAATACATCTGGCAATGATTCAAGGGCCACTCGCTAGCCTCCGCAAGAGAGATGTGACCCGTGTCCTGCCAGTTGGATAGCCCTGCAGTACATCAATGCACAGTAAGAACAAGAATCTGAAATATTGTCTACCATTTGCTGAAGGAGATTGAGCAAGGATCCTGAAATACTTTGGGTAGATTTCAAACTCCAAATTGTGCACATGCAGTGCCGTTACTTTTTTCAATTTCTAACTGCCAAGGGATTGAGTGGTGAAGCAATTTATTAGTAACTGTATTGCTACAGATGAAGTGTAGTGTGTAAATGGATGACTAATCTGTATTACGTTATTATCATCTTATCTACCTTCATTTGCAAGTTTAATATTTTTCAGTCATCATGGATAGATATGGCTGATAGTTGCCCAAAAATCTGGACACAGTCAAAAGATTCTGGCATTCTTGTCCATTCAGGTCAACAGAAGCAAATCGCTGTACGGGTAATTAATCTACAGGTGGGTTTCTTCAAAGTTGCCATCATTGATTATAAAGTAATTTTTTGTAACATTCAGAACCTTTTTAATGTTTACTGGTTGTAAAATATGACGGAAGGTTGTTCTCCCCCTCTAAAGGAGACTGTTCTTGTTTTTATGTGCAAATCAATTTTACAGGCATATTTGTATGCAGAGTGTTGGTTCCTTGCCTCTCAAGCAGGTGAACTTTGACTGAAAGAATCCACCCTAGTTAATCATTTCTTATCACATGCTTGTGGGGGGGGGGGGGGGGGATGAGTTTAAGCCCACACAGGGGAATCTTAAATGAGTGTCCAGTATTCGTCAAGTGTCCAGTGTTTTTCCAGAGTTCAGTATTTGTCCAGTGTCTGGTGTTCATCCGATGACCAGTATTTGTCAAGTGTCCAGTATTTGTCAAGTGTCCAGTATTTGTCCAGTATTTGTCCAGTGTCCAGTATTTGTCTGGTATCCAGTATTTGTCAAGTTTCCAATATTCATCCAGAGCCTGGTCCAGTATTTGTCCAGTTTTACAATTATCCATACACTTTGTAAATTGACCAAAGAAATCTGTCCTTTTTGTGATTACATCCCTGATATTTACAACAGTGTGTGAGTTATATAAATTAGGATGACCATACCTTCCCTTTTCTTAGGGACAGTATCTTTTGTTTGTTTTTTAAATTTGTGAGGATACTTCACTAAAAAATAAAAAATGCAGATTGTCCCTACTGACGGTATCGAAGCAGCCTTCTAGGCCTATCTGAAAAATGGCACTGTCTTGTCACCCTTTGATAAATGTTACAATGTTTAAGAATTATTCTTATCAGTGACCGGGCCACCCATTCGCTGGTCGGCAGGCGGCTTCATCATCAGCCGGGACAATATTTGGGTTTTGATTGCATCAACACTGCAAGAGTCCTTTTCAGGGCTACTTGGTGGCGAGCATTGATAAGCCATGTTATATTGCGCACATAAAACTGGTAACAATTATAACCAAAAGTTCCCCTCTCGGAAAATGTTGGTTGAATGTGATGATTTTTTATTTTTCGCAAAGCAAGTCAAGTCAAATCAAGAATTATTCTTCAGCTGTATACAACAAGATAAGAAGAACTCCACAGGGGAGCATGTACAGCAGGGGTCCACCAATCATCAGTAGAATGATTCTTCGTTGACGATTATTTCGGCCCGTTACCATACCTGTACAATCTCGGAAGGTGGACCCGTCTGGGACATGACTTCCAGGCCTCGATCTTTCCCTGCTGCACTTTACTGGGTATTCTCGGAAGGGACAGGACGATATGGTGATTTGTAACAAGTGTTGTGAGAATTATTGATATTGTCACTGCGGTAGCAAATTAGATCAGTCGACTAACTTACTACCATGGTGACAAGCTTTTGGTTGGTTCATTGGACAGATGTTAGACTTGGCATTTAGACTGGCAGTCAACAGAGGGACATTGGCAGACATTTTGGACACTTTGGCTTTTAAGTGATAAGTCGTTCTTTTCCACCAGAGACTCAGATGAGCCTACTGAGGCCCGTCCCCCATGACGTTCCATTGTGTCCAGAGCCAGCAGCTTGCTCCAGTTGTTTTAGCGACCGTTTGCGCGTCAGATTTGAGTGTGATGTTGACTCATTGGATGGATTTTCTTTTCCTAACAAGGGACAGACCTGCAGGACATGTTCCATGGTTTGTTTTTAGAAATGCCAAAACCTTGTCGGGAATGATAAATTCGACCTACAGGATCGAAGCAGTAAGAGAAAATGTGGAACACTAGTAAAAATCTCAAGTGCACCTATGTGCTGGTATAGATGCATACAATTGTTCCTGAAGAAGAGGACAGAGAGGAAGAAGAAGAAAAAGAAGTACAAACAAACAACATGAATTATTCGATACTGCAACCGGGATATTTCATTGACCAGCTTACTTTTTGTCTGCAAATCTGCCAGCTAAACAGATTCTCAGAAAGCAATAAAATCCTTCTTCAGTTGAATCCCGGCTCACTGCGGCATACCAGGATATGAGTTAGTAGACAGACTTGCAAAAAATGGAACAAAGGAGGAACAATACACTCATTCATTGTCATTACCAATGATGAAAACACTCATCAAGGGAAAATACAAGGAGTTGTGGAGAGAACAAACTAACAGTAAGCATCCATAAGACTCTCTCAACAGACTCAACAGGAAGCAGCATACAACAATTTTCCTTCTAAGAACAGGACACTGCAGGCTCAGCTACCACATGCATAAAATAAAGATTGTACAATCCCCACAATGTGCCTGTCAAACAGGACCACAACACACCTGAGCACATTCTGCAGACCTGCCCACTCTACCTACAACTTAAAAAATACACCTGGCCTCAAGAGCAAAGTGTGCAGAGCAAGCTGTGAGGAACCATGAAGGACCTGCTGCAGACTTGAGAGTTCATAGAGGCAACCCACCTGATGGTTTGACCTGAGCATACAAAACCGCATGTCAAGAAGAAGAAGTCTGCAATTTTACTCATTGGCCATGTGTTGTAACTCCCCTTGAAGTGGAGATTACAAAAATAAACCAATCTACGTTCCAAGATTGTCTAAAATGAGTACTGAAAAGTGTTTTGAAAAACAAATATGGCCATAATGTAAGACCAGTGCCAGACATGGTCGCTCACAATAAACAAGAAAAGAAAATTAGTAACAACTGAAATGAGATCTTTGATAAATTCTACAGGAGTGATCAGAAGAGATAAAATCAGGAGTGATGTAATTGGAGAAAAAGGTGCCACAGAACTAATTCTAAATTATCTACAAAGACAGCAGATCAAATAGTTTGCCTACCTACAGAGAATGCCTACTGATGCCACACAAGGCATACACCAAAAGGGGAGAAGGACATAGAGCAAGAGGTAGAACAAGATGGAAAGATAACATTAGAGAGAAACTCTACAACAGCACAATGTGTCTGTAGTCATGGCGGTCAGAAGAACAAGAAGCAGAACCTTATAGCTCCTTCAACACCTGAAGCGGTAAAAAAGACAGTGAAGGGGAAGTCAGATATTGACTACATCATCCACTGTTATTTAGTCTTCTATAACAGGATACAATTGATACCCCACCCCAAGGCTGGTAAAGGTCCATTACTTATATTACACATGTCAAGTTGTCTTCATGTCAAAAGAGGTATATCATGGTCTGAACGAATGAACAAACAAACTTTTACTTCCAAAAGGTTACAAATGGGGCACGCAGGCCCATCTTACAAACAAAATAATTCCCGTCCAGGTGATATGATTATCTATACGGATAGCTATGCATTTAAAATGAACAGCTATATATTATATGTATGCATACATTCCAACAGCCTGACCAAACAACAAATGTGAAGTGCACGTTTGCCCACTCTGGACACAGCCAAATTGTGAATGCAACAATCACATCCTCTAGTTTGACTTGTGATGCTCTCATGGTAATATGCCTCTTTGTATTTTCATATTATAAATATATATATTTTGTCCAGATAGATCTGCAAACACTTGGTGTTATCAAATGGAAAGAGATGGCCAACCAGAGAGATGAGTGGAGGCGGGTGACATCTGCAGCAATGAACATCAAAGGCTCAGAATGCTGAAGAAGAAGAAGTGTTTTATATTCAAGTGTCCTTTTGATTATAGTAAATTTGTTTCACTACCTGTTTTGCATATTGATAGATTTTGCATCTGGCCATATCTGTAGGACAGAAAGAAGCAATCAGATTCTGTACTGACCATAATTACCTCCCATTTGTTCAACAGAGGAACATAATATGAAACGGTAAAATCCAGTTACATATTTGCTACATAGAAAGAAAAAGAAAAGCAGATAATATTTGCTAGAGAATGAAATTAAATTTACATATTACCTGCAGAAGTTTGCAGTGGAGAAAGCACATTTGACCTAATTTGTTTTAATTATTTGTTTTGCTGCGGCCAAAATGGAGGTTGACTGCAGTGAATCATGTGAATTATAACTGCTGTTTTTTGGAATATTAAATAAATGGGGAGCTGCAGTCTTTTGTATGGTTCAGCTGTCATACCCCTGTCAAAAACCCATGAGAAAAATGAATTTTTTTTAAATAAACTATGGGAGAATCAATAACTTCAGGTTGATTTGCATAAAAAAGGAAAAAAGCGGAGGAGAACGAATAGGAGGAAGTAATAATAACAGCAGCAGCAGCTCAGTTTGTGGTTCATAATGAAAGCTTGGTGACACCAGTATTTAGCTAGCACTACCATTTTGACGCGCGGCGTCCGTGGCTAAGGCGTTGCGAGTCCGACTCGTAAGCCAGCATACCGCGATCGAAACCCACTGCAGGCTGCGTGGATTTTTATCGTGGTATGGGACGTCGCAGGTCGACCCAGCCTAAAATGGGTACCAGGATGGGCTGTCCTGGGAAAGTAAAGACAGCCGGCGTAATGCTGACCACATTACCCACAGAGTGCTGATGGTCTGTAAAAATATGGGACGCTCTGCCCATATGCCCGATGCGCCGAAAGGCGTGAAAAGGGAACTTTACTTTTTTATTTTTTACTTACCATTTTGACATTCAGTATAACCAAACTGTTTCAGTTTCCGTGATAGGATCTGATTTAGAGTTCTAGCCAAACTATGTGAGTTTCCATCTGATCTTATCTGATTTAGAGTTCTAGCCAAACTGTTTCAGTTTTCATGATCTCATCTGATAAGAATTTTAATCACACTTGGCCAGGATTGCAGGGATTGGCCAGTGAGCACTGCAGTATCAGAAATTCAAGAACTGGTTCATAATAATTCTCATCCAGGTGATGTTATTATTTATACAGATGGCTCTGCGTTGAGAGGTTTCACTGCAAAAGCAAATGGATGACACTTAGTGGAAGATAATTTTACCATATAGTACTACAACATCTATTCTGCCACTCTGCAAGCAACTAACAACTGATACTACTACCTATGCAAATCAAATTTTAAAATCAAGCATACATTATTTTGAGACTTGAGTTATAATTGGACACATGTTTATCAGGTTTATTGCTGTTTACAGTTTAACTTTGACGAAGAAAGCCCATATGCTGTTGCTGATTTTAAAGTGACATGGGGTCCATTGAATCTACCATTGGATAACCCAAGTTTAATACAAGGTACTATTTAATTTTAACGAATTTTGAAATCTGAACACAGAGAAATATAATAAATGGCCATAAAAGTGACAGATAATTCCTAACGAAACCTGGCATAGAGGTGTGAGTTACTGAGATTTGTTTAACAACAAACAAGTCACTTTTTAAAAGTGAGTCGACCTGCTTTTTAAAATTGTTTTTAATTATTGAGAAAATCTTTCTAGCTATTTTGAAAATATTGAAATATTGTGAAGCAATACCATAATCTAGTTTTTTTCCTTGCTGCCTTCTCGTTCTCCTTTCCCTCCTTTCTTCTCTTCTTCTTCTTCTCCCCTCCTGCTGCTGCTGCATTTGCTGCTGCTCCACCTTCTTCTGTTTTCCTTCTCCTCCTCCTCCTCCTCCTGCTGTTGTTGCTGCTGCCCCTCCTCCTTCTTCTTCTTTTTACCTTCTCATCCTTCTTCTTCTTCTTCTTCTGCTGCTGCTGCTCCTCCTCCCTCCTCCTCAGCAAAGAAGCAAAGTATTGACTGGGAGAAGGGGAGGCAGAGATGTCAAAATCTTCTGTGAGCCATTTCTATTGCATTGTGTAATTTGGTGTCCATTTCTCTACAATTGTTCTTGATGCTATGACTCCATCTTAAGTGTCGTAGTCCCCTTGCTGTGTGCACATTATCTTTCTTCACCATGGCTGTCTGAGGTAGTTTGTACTAGATGAGGTAGCTTGTACCTGATCATTCTGAACAGATGACTAAACCATTTGGTTTTTTGCTTGTCTTATGTGCCTGTGTAACACACTGGCATTACTATAATTATTGCTTTTTTTACTTTATATTTGTTTTATATATTTTGCTATAAACATAACATGCTTTATGGATAAAATACTTGTTGTTCATCCATCACAAGTGATGAAGACCACTCCTTCTTTCATCCGTCATGAAACTATATTTGATTGTCTGTGGGTCTGGAGATGATTTATAAGCCAAATAAGGGGCCTGGAAGGATCTAGAGCAATGGGGACAGGGAACAGTGTCTGTAGGTAAGGGGCCAGTTATAAGGGTCTATCTAGCCTGTCTGCACTGTTCAGCAGCAATTTTAATGCCTCACAAATCTCTGGGCTGTTTCGGGTAGACATTCCCCATATAGTCCGGTCTTGTGCAGCAACCTCCGAGGTGTCCGGGTTTATATTGAAAGCTTTAAGTGATAACTTTAGTGTGTCCTTGAAACCTTTTTTTATGGCCACCATGAAAGCTTCTACTTTCTTGTATCTCGCCATAAAAGATTTTTTTTGCAAGCCGATGTTCTTGGAAACGGAGGAGATGACCTGCCCATTGAATCTGTGACTACATCAGGATGGTATTGATAAAATACCATGGTTGTGTGAAAGATGAGTATTCGGAAAGGTCAAATGTTATTCAGGCCTGCATGTGTAATTTTTTCACCCTTTAAAAATAACATTTGTTCGTTCAAATTCACATAGCTATGAAAGACATTTTAAGGTATAAGCATTTTTCTGTGGTTTTACAGAAGAATGCTTAAAATACCTTGGACAGCCAAAAAAGAGCAACCAAGACGTTTTGAAAGCCCGAAGAGCCCGAAGACAACTTATCACAGACATCAGAGACAGTCATCATTTTTCGGCCATGTTATGAAAAGAGGGAAAATGGAACATGTTGTGACCACTGGAAAGATCTATGGAAGGAGGGATAGAGAAAGACAATGAGAGAAAATTCTTGACAGTCTTGTTGCAATGCATGGAGGTGTGTCAGCACACGAACTGATACATGCTGCAGGAGATCATAGATTGTGGAGAGGCACCATTGCCCACACCAGTCACCAATGCACCTGATAATGATGATGAAAGACATTACTTTTTCCCCCAGAAAATTGTTGCAATTACTGATTACATTTCTGTAAATTTCTTTCAGTGCGGGTCTACAAATGCCAGCACATGGTCAGCTATTGTGGTCAGTGTCTGTCCATGGATGCGGAGTATGAGTGCGGCTGGTGTGAGCAGTCTTGTACTGACCCCACACATTGTGAGGGCAGGTGTACTTTACAGAAACACTGTGCAGGCAACTGGCTGGATCGTGCGGTCACATGCCCGAATCCACAAATCACAAGGGTTGGTGCATATTTACTTAGTTAGTCTTAGTCTTAGTCGAGGTTTCAACTTCACTTCAATCGGGTTTCCCTGTACTTGCTCCATTTTTGTGCCAGTAAAAAAATTAAATGAAATGTCCCTCACTGTCGCATTTGAAAAACTGTTGAACAAACAAATAGTCCCGGCACAATCCAAAATATGCTCATGCAGTAAATGACTAAACAGTTGCTAGAGGTGCCAAAGCTAACAGTCACCACCAGAAATGCAGTTTAACGTTGATGGAAGCAGTCAGTTACAGTAAGTTGGCTGAACACAGGTAAAATTACTACAAAAGGTATTTCACCAGACCACACATAAACCAGCTACAGGCCATATTGAATAACACGACTCAACAATTGCACAGATCAAAGGCATTCCTCATGAAAAACACAGCTCACAGTGCGACACCAAGCACTAAACTCACTGACTACCATCCATATGTGGAAACTGCATTAGAAAAGTGCATTTACTTACATTGTGTTCTGTTACCTATGTAATCTTTGTGGCAGACTGCCACTCCATCATAGGAGTCTTACTTACCTTCTGTGCCTTTGTAGCATGCTGGCATTATTGTAATTATCCTTAATATTTTTATTTCTATTCACTTTATGTAGTTTGCTATGTGCATAACATGCTTCATAGATAAAATACCGCTGCTATATGATAGGATCAGTATTTTAAAAGGCTGCCTTACTGCCTTTCTGTTTTATCTTACTGTCTTATCTTACTGTCTTGTTGTCTTATATCTTACAGTGTTGCTGTCTTATCTTACTGTCTTGTTTTCATGTATTACTTTTTTGCTATCTGAAATTACTGTCTTATTTTCTTATCTTATTATGTCATGTTACTGTCTAGGTTTCTTATCTTACTGTCTCATTATTTCATATTCCTGTTTTTTTTTTCTTCTCTTACTGTCTTATTATTTCATCTGACTGTCTTGGTTTCAGTTTAATCCAACAACGGGTCCAATCAAAGGTGCCACCTTAGTAACTGTCACGGGCATAAACCTGGGAAAGTCTTACACAGACATCAATGCAGAAGTAGCTGGGAAACCATGTGGCGTCAAACCAGACCATTACCAAGCTGCAACAAGGTAACGGTCTCTTTCACTTTTTGTTTTACTTGACAATCTGTATGTGTTTTTGCTATATTAGCTCTTTGTCTTCTCTGTGAACTAAGAAATGTATCGTGAAATTGCAAATTTAAGGATTTGGATTGGAGGGTTGGGGGTTCAGGTCCTCACTGAACCAGACTTTTTCAAAATTGACCTTGGCTTCCAGGTTGACACAGCCTTGAGTGGGTACCAGGTACAGTTCTGGGAAGTTAAGATGGCTGGCGTGATGCTGACTACATTACCCACCAAGTGCTGATTGGTCTAAAAAATATAGGTCTACCCTATATGCCCAGTACGCCTAAAGGTGTGGAAAAGGGGATGTTTATTTTTTACTTTAATTCATATTTAAAGATATCATGTTCAGCACATGAGATTGCAATGAGATGTGTTTGTACTAACTCTGCTTGCACTGGCTGTTGTCTAGGAGATGATATGTGTAGTGAATGCTCTTAGCACACATTCTACGTTGATATAACTGGGACAAGCCGACACCGACTTAGCAGTACGATACATCAGTTTATTGACATCTGAACACTTACATCGTTGTCCAGTCCTTGTCCTAGTAAACAGCTTTCACACACCACATTACGCAGACTTCAACATGCTGGTTTCTCACGCAGTCACTGACCAGAGTTTGCACAGATGATCTGGTTCTTCTCCTTGACATCATACAGACTGGCCTGGCTGGTCTTGGCTTCAAATAGATGGCGTCGTCAGGTTTTCCTCTCACCTCAGTCAGTTTCACGTTGGCATTCTCTCAATCAATCTCCCGTCCTTTCACTCCGACAGTTCAACACATACTTACTTGATCAGACTAGGGTCTGACTTATACTCCGTATTAGTTTCACGTGGCAACACGTGGTGGTCCTTTACTTCCATGTGGCGACCTGTAGTCGATATCATCGTGTTACACGTGATAACTCGTTGTCATCACCTACCTTGAAAACCTCAGTTAATCCGAGTATCTGGCTTCTCTCAGTATTATTGTTAGCTTGGGGCTTTCCCCCCAACCTTCCCAGTCAGGGTGAAAATATCCCTCATTACAAGATGGCACTCAAAGACGATACAATTCACAACAAGCTTGCCTTTTTTACTTTTTCTGAAAATAGACTCTCTGATAACAGGTTTGTGAGATTCCAGATATCTCTTTCTACCCTGACGCTGCGAGGCATTGCAGTTGTTGAGGAAAGAATGAATGTTAAATTTAGAATTGACATCACAGCACTCTGTCCACATCTTCGGCAGCAAGCGAAGCGTTTCAATTTCAGTGGTGCCAGTAACTGCCTCATTGTACGTCCATCTCACTTTTTCCCCTCAGTGTCGAGCCTCAGCCAGATCCCCTGGTAACTCCCCGCTGCGCCATTCTCCTGAGACTGCAATGATCTGCTTGTGCCTCCGCATTGTTCACTCACTCCCAAAGGGCCCTTATAATATCTAGGTTGTCATACTTCAAGTCACCACCAAGTGGTGCAGAACCAGCCAATCTATCTATAGAAAAAAAGAAGAAAAAGGTAGTTGGTTGATCTAGCCACAAAAGCAAGGTTTTAAATAGTTTTTCATACTGAGATAACATCTTTATAAAAACCTACCGAAGGAAAAAGTTGAAAGCAAGATAGCTGTACAAGAGGTAGGATATCAAGAGATGGATGGATAGTAGTATCAGATATTGTATACCAAGGACAAGAGACAGACAGTGTTTGCTTTGGAGATTTATTGCAACTAGCCTTTATTGTGGAGATGATACTTCAATAATTAACTGATTCAAGGGGGAAAACCATCAAGGAGATGAATGGCGCCTTTGCTGTTACAACTAATAGCCTTACAATGGAAACTAGGGCTGCAACAAGGGCTTTAGAATGGCTTGGTGCTCACAAGTTCACACACAAATATGCATTCTTAGTGACTCGATGAATACGCTTTAAAAAATCCAACCTGGATCGCAACACTAAGCACTTTATGGATATCTGCCCTAACCTTTATCTTTGTGCCAGGTCATGCGGGTGTTCAAGGGATCGAGCAAGCAGACTATCTTGCTGACACTGTGGTTGCTATGGCTGGCCCAGTACTGGACAGAAGTGATGTTATCAATCCCATGAGCTGCACTTACTGTACTGGGGAGCACGCCAAAGGACATGACTCTGTATCCCTGTCTAGACTGATGGACATGGGGGTGCAGCCTGGAGCTGAAAGAAATTATCATTCCACTAAGGGGACAAGACGTTTCATTAACCAACACAGATCAGGTGTCATCAGTCGTTTTACACTTTTGGAGCTTTTGAGGAGGAGATCGGAGCACCTATGGATCTGTTCGGAGTGCTGTGATGATAATCCTTTCTAATTACTAATCACTAATTTATTTTGCTTTTCTTGCAGGTTTGTCTGCGAAGTTGGGCAAATGGATATTGAGTCTTCAGGAATTATCTCAGTGACGGTTGACAGACAATACACAGCCAAGTCTGACTCCGAGTTTGTTTTTGTGGTAAATATCATTTTCTCTTGTAGCCTGTCCTTCATTAGTGTAACTTTTTGATGTTAATTGAATAGATGGTGTGGGAAAAAAGGGAAAGCCAATGGGATATTAACTTCCTTTCTCTGACAATCTCATTAGGTGATGTGCACGTGCGCGTGCACACACAGACACGCACATATCCACGCATGCGTAAGCACACACATACGCGCGCACACACACACACACACACACACAGTTTGAATCTTCTCTTGATGTCTGATTTTGATTGCTTTCTTTGTGTGCAGGCTTCTTTCTGCATTTGCCGTTAAAAGGCAGTTGGCACGTTTTATTGTGGTTTACAACTAGACTGCGGCATCTGCACCATTTGGCCCAGTATATCTAATTTCAGCAAACTATTATTTAGTTACCTTTTATGACATGTTTGTTGGAGCAATGGGTTCTTTTCTGTTCGCCCCAAAACTCACAGGGGATGGCTGATTTGAGAATGTTTTTTTTTAGTAATTACTGTATTTTATTTTTATAATGTCTTTAACTCATTAAAAAAAATGGTTTCCCCATTTTTTAACTGAAAATACAAAGGTTTCATTGCCTTGCTACTGATCTGAGTGTTTGGTACGTACAACATTTTGAGCTGTGAATTTTACATTTATGTTTTTTTTATCGTGCTGACTGTGGTTTTGTGAACACATCATTACTAGGGTAAGTAGCATTCAATAATCAGTCGCTTAATAAGCCTTATTATTCACTGTGTGGGTTCAAGGACCCCATATTGAGAGGAAAAAAATAGACCCACGGGTTCTTAGGTAGAATGTCGTAAAAGGAAACTAATTAGTTTGCTAAAATAAAATGTATTGAGCCCAAAAGGCCAGATATCACAGCCTAACTGTAAAACACTATAATTTGTTGTGTGTGTTTACAGTAAAAAACTCTGCAATCATTTTTTGGGGGGGCCATTTTATTTCTATTTTTGAAATTTAAGTTGATTGGCATAATTTCACTCCATTATTTTTAGGATCCGATCGTGACTGCTTTAACTCCTAAAGCCGGTCCCAAGTCAGGAGGAATAACTCTCACTATAACTGGTGACCATCTGGATACAGGAAGTGACATCAGTGTCAAGATGGAAGGCGGCATGTGTGAAATCTTAAAGTAAGTGAATGGTGAATTCATGACGAAATGAATGATGATGTTAATGATGAATTTACAGTGAAGGGAATGATGGATTCATGATGAAATAAATAATAAATAAAGAATGAAGAATTAGTAAAGTATAAAAAGGTAGCAAAAAAAAACAAAAAAAAAAAAAACATGTTAGCACAGTAATCACCCAGCAGTATGTATGTATCTTCTTCTTCTTCGCGTTCCCCAGCTGTAAACTCTGGCGGAAAATTCTGGTTGTTTATCCACTTCTGGACTGCAGTCCTGTTACAGAACTTGAGTGTTGCGTGTGCATCCGGACAGATCTGACTAATTTGATTGCAGACTGTTGGTTCCTTGCCTCTCAGGCAGATGCACTCCGCCTTTGGAGGAAGCTTCCAATTAGTCGACTCTTACGACATGCTTATGGCTAGGCAGTGGGTGTGCTCTTGTTTTCCCTATAATAGGGCAGTGGAACCCACACGGGGAGTATGGATGTATAATATTTGCCATCGTCTAATACATTACTGTAGCAATGTGTTGCATGGAAATTTTAAAATAACAAGCTGTATAAACATTTTGATACTAAATCTATTCAGACACGAAGAGATGCATACAAGTTACATGTGATTTATGAAGTAACTACTGGTATTCAAAGTGATTCCAGACACTTATTAGTGCGGTGAACTGCTGCTCGAATAAAGGGAATTAAATGGTTTTAAAGAATCACTAATGTAGAGTTTTGGGAGAGAACTAAACAAGCTCCAGTGGACCAAGAGATGAAGAAAAGAGGCTGGTATTGGATAGGACACACATTGAGAAAACTGGAGAACAATATAACTAGAATGTCTTAGCACTGAAACCCACAGAGGCATAGGAATAAAGGAAGGCCAAAAGACATATGGAGAAGGGAAGTGGAGAATGAAGTTAGAAAGATTGTGAGGGCATGGAAAGAGCTGCATGTTATAGCCAAAGATAGAACGACATGACATGAGTTGGTTGAGGGCCTATGCTCCATTACGAGCTAGAAAGGCAGAAAAAAAAAAGAACTGCTGTTCCAGTTATGTTACCCAAAGTGTCTGGTGTGATTGCTGCACATGCAGTTACAATTTCTTGCTGAAGAAATGACAGTGTGGCCAGTTTTCTGTGATAAACAACATCTTTCAAGGTACCCCATTGGTAAAGGTCAAGGGATGTTAAATCAGGAGAACTTGCAGGAAACTCAGCTGCAAACACCCCTTCGTCCTGTACATCTCATTTTTCCTTAACCATCATACAAAACACAGCTACCTTAATTCAATCTAAATAAGCGGTATATATCGTGTAATGTGGCATTCGTGGCTTAGACGTTGCGAGTCCGACTCCTAATTTCAATGTACCAGAATCGAAAACCCATTGCTGGCGGTATGGATTTTTATCAAGGTATGGGCCATCACAGGTCGACCCAGCCTAAAATGGGTACCAGGATGTATGTCATGAGGAAGTAAAGACGGACGGTGTAATGCTGACCACATTACCCACCTAGTGCTGATTGGTATGGGTGCTCGTCCCATGTGCTCGATGCACCTAAAGGCGTGAAAAGGGATCTTTACTCTGCTTACTTTTACTTATGTTGTGTAATGATGACATTTTAAAACAAGTAGCCTCTATGAAAATGTTTATGCATTTAACTGGTGGATGATTACTATGTATGTATTATTTTTGTCTACCTCTGTATGAATGATGAATTATGAAGCGAATGATAAATTAATATTTTAGTGGATGGTGAATTAATTAAAAAAAATTTATTCATGACAAATTAACCTTTTATTGGCTTTTGTCATTTACTGAACTTTTATTCTACTTCTTGTTACTTCATGAACTTGTCTGACCTCCATCTTTTGTGCACATTATGTTTCATTAGTTTATGACAATAAATTATGAAAAAGATAGATCAGAAAGGATGAGATCTAAAAATAACACAAAAATATATAAAAAAAAATAAAAACTAGGGGTAGTAACAGTGTTAGATTTCATTAGAAAACATGAACGTAAATCACTAGCCATTTAACCCTTTTGCCCAGCAAATGCTTTAAAAAAAATGACACGTGGGACCCCTCCACCCTCCCCCACTTCCCCCTTTTCCTCCAATATTAAATAACAACTGCTTTATACAGGTAAATATTACAACTTGTCAGCGTTTGTGGCTTAGGCATTGTGAACGTGCTCTATAATGCCAGGGTGCCTGCTTCAATCCCAGCTGTGGACAGTTTGTCTTGTGCTGGTTTCGACAGTGGTACTGTCAAAGTAATGGCAAACTATTGAACGTAAAATTTGCCTAGAAAAACCACAACAGCCAAAACATTCTGGGGTTGGTTCTGCAATGTCTTGTAAAGGATACGCAGCTAACTTTAACTATCACAATGCTGACGAGTTTTTTATTTACATAAAAGAGAAACTTTTTTTTATTTTTATTTATAAAGATATAAAAAGGGAGTAACTAATAAACACTAACAAATTTAAGCATTTTGTGAAATGCATTGCCTGGGGCTCAAACTGATATTTATTGGATGAAACATGCTGTGACCCCATGACCTCTGTCGATGATGCCATAGTGAAGTAGAGAAAAGATAGAGAAAGAAATGAAAATAAAAAAAAAATTAAAAGCATTTGACAAAGCAAGAAATAATGAAAATCCAATCTTTTTTTTTTTTTTTTACAAAGTTTCAGACAAAACAAAACAGCCTTGGAATGTCGAACCCCAGCCCAGCCCAGCAAAAACACAGATGTGAGAGTTGAGGTCAGTTTTGGAGGTTACAGGAAGGAAGTGCCAGAAATGTTTTCATACAAACCAGATCCTACGGTGTCCATGATTGAGCCTTTGAAGACAATAATGAGGTAAGGTATAAGATAGTAACTTGGAATATGCGTTTCCAAATCTGTATATCTTTGTATTTATAATAATTAGTATCTGTATACAGGTTAGTTGCGTATCCTTTACAGGACGTTGCAGAACCAACCCCAGCAACCCCTGGCTGTTGTGTGGTTTCTCTAGGCAAATTTACATCCAGTAGTTTGCCATTACTTTCTGGACGGTCGGCCCCCTGATACCACTGTTGAAACCAACGCAAGCGCATGGCCCGTAGCTGGGATCGAACCTGGCACCCCGGCATTACAAAGCGTTCTCATCAACTTAGCCACAGAGCCGACATCTGTATACAAGGTCCGACAATTGAGTAATGAGACTGATTTTATTATGGCCAAGACAAAAATGCCATCTGTGAATCAAAACATGGAATCCAAAGAGGTAACCTTCATCTATGACTGGCAACTTTTCATCGCCGCCTGATAGGCAGACATAAAAGAAGCCGCCATTTTGTTAACATAGCCAGAGGTGCATTGTTACATAATCAGCATGGAGCAAAAAAAAAAGCTAACTTTTAAATTCTGTTTAAATCTCAGAAAAAGCAACATTGCAACAGTTGAATTGTTGCGACAGGTTTATGTGGATATTTGTTTATCTCGTGCACAGATTTTCAGTTGGTAATCATGATTCAAAAATTACCTGCTGTTTGCATCTTTGATGGGTCCAAAGATTCATCGTAATACTCTGTTTTCGAAAATTTGTAATTAGGCTTCATCTCTTTTAGTTGTGCTCCAAGTTTCAGAGCCATATAAAATGATTAGTCTTATCAACATGTTTGGATCTCAAAGCGTGAGCTGGATGCTCCGGCTATATGTTATTTACGTACACTGGAGCTTAGCTGTCTACACAACCTGATCACATAATAACAAATGACGACTGGACCCGCTTATGGCTCCACATAAACTCTCACACACATATCCATTACACGACTAACCCGTTCATGTTACAGGAAGACAACTATAAGACCACTATGGTCACACGCGGAAGATTTTCACATTTCGGAACTATTCAAATTCAAAAACTGTTTTCAGTACTTTTTGGCAAAATTAAAATACTCAAAATTTTTAAACAATAAATGGTGGTCCAAAGGACGTGTATGGAAGCTCGCTCTCCTTCGAGATACGCCTAGCCAGATCAAAGGGAGACAGAACAAACAGGAAACACCAAGAAAGAAGAAGGAAGACATGCACCAGTGACAACAGGACGAGCGGTTTGATTCGGATGGAAGCATCAAGCCCAGAAATGGCACAAACACTAGTATTTAGTCACAAAAATGATGCAAATAACCCAGACCACAAATATAGGCGGAGACTGCTAGCAGCAGCAGTCAGAACGTGATCGAGCTTTTCTTTTTTTTTTCCCCAAAAGGACTTGGACTTGGAACATGTTATATATTTTCATCTTGGTGTTGCGAGATAGAGACTTTGTCTTTCTTTTTGTTAATGCATTTAATAATTGATATTTGAAAGGTTTATTTTGATAAATGATGCCTAGAAATGTTTGTACTTTAGTAACTCATCATTTCATCTCATCTTTATCCTCTTGTACCTTGCGATGTCAAGTTGAAGTATAATTTATGGGAAAGAGCCCATTTGTGTGCTTTGAAATTAGAGTTGTCAGAGCCTTTGTAATTCCCTGTGCCCATGGCTTATTTGGTCTCTTCTTCGCTTCTTGTCTGGTCAGTACATCAGTGTTTCCCAAACTTTTCTTAGTCGCGGGGCCCTTTTTAAATAACAATTTTTCCTCAGCGCCCTAACTTCAGTAAAAGTATGACTATTTGTATGTAAGAGATTTAAAAAAAAAACAACTTGTGTATCTTTGAATATTTTGCGGCGTCCCAGTGAAGAGGTCGTGACTTCCCAGGGTGCCATGGCGCACAGTTTGGGAATCACCGGTGTACGTCATTGCTTGCTGTGACTATAGTAACTGATAATATACAATAACAAATACCAAATGAAGTTGGATGTGTTTACCAAAAAGTAATTTTCTTCTTTTTTTTTTTTTTTACTTACTAGTATGAACTTCCCAGTCTTTTGTTATTCACTCAGCAACCTGTAAAGTTTGACTTGCACCAATGTTTTTCTTGGCCAAAAGTTTTGCCTTTATTTGTTGTATTTGGGACAGTCTTGGAGGACATGATCTGTTGTCTCAGGTGCCAGTCCACATGTGCACATGGCTGATTCGCTGATTTTAAATTTGCGAAGTCGATTTAGTCCTGTTTTAAAGCATAGAATAATGACTTGCTCTGGTCTGTCCATAAAATGGTAAAAAAGAAAAGTAAACAAAAACAAAAAGTAATACTATTTCAGCACTGTTGTTAATAAATGCAACTCAGCGATGACCATCAGAATCAAAATACAAGATGAAAGTGGATGAAAAATGTGCCGGGTTTTTGTGTGGACAAATGAAGTGAATGGCCATATATTTCAAACTTGATCTCAACTTTTTCTTCTTATTCACAACAGTGGGGGGACATCAATTACTGTGAAAGGAGATGGTCTTAAGCAAGACGGATATTTAATCAGATTTCTACTGGCACCATTAGTATCGGAACTCTTCACTGGCTGCTGAAGATAGGGACAGAGCGCTTATGGGAATGTTCTGAGTGCTGTGATGTTGGTTCTTGAATCAACTCAACTCAACTGTTCTTGCAGTCTGATCATGGTTGCAGATTCACAGTCATAACTTGGTTCTCAGACAGGGGCATCAGACACATTCTTCTGGCTCTGGCATGCTTACCTTGCTGTATTCCCCGACCCTGCTGATTTATAGGTTTGTTTGCGTAGGAAGCACAGACTTATTTCTGCCATGTTGAAAAACTAAACACATCACACAGTATTGTTAAACACATACGCTGAAAAAATAAACTCAAGAATGGTTTCGCAAAGATGCATGAACTACGTCGCACCGGAGAAAATCTTTAGGAAAAAAATCTAATGGTTTACATCCTGGTACGGATAATTATATACAGCTGATCAGAGTTATCTATCTTTTGCATGAAAATGACCAGGTCACGAAGAAACCACAACTGTCCACCACCATTGTTGACCAAATATGTCAGTAAGTGTCAGATTGCACTTGGTTCCTTAAATATAGCAACACTGAAATTTGGATAAGAAAACAGATACTGACATTTTTAAAAGATCTGAACATCAAGAAAGATCGGCAAGTAAATAGCATCCAATCTCGGTAACTGAAACCGTGCATAGAATCATTATCAGGGAAGGCTCAACTACAGGCCCAGTGAACATCCAAGACCTAAAACAGGTGGCAATGAACAGCCAAACATGGTGAGCTGTGACCTCTGCCCTATGCACCACACTAGGCTAAAGAGGAAAGGCTAACTAACTAATTATTATATTTATTTGCCACTGAACACATTATTAATAATAGTAATAAGGTGTTGAATGATAACAAAATTATAATAATATACTTGAAAACATATGTAATGTCTAAACAGAAACTTTACAAGATAATTTCTATACTTGGTTAAAGGGAACCTCTTATTGCTTTTACAGAGTTGTGATGTGACAAAAGTTAACATAATTTAGTGCTTGGTTCTATTTTTCCAGGGAAAGATATAAAACCGAACAAAAAGTATATCAGCGAGTTTTGCAATATAAAAAACACAAACAAAACGTGAGCGGGGCGGCCATGGAGCTTCATCAGCACATAAATAAATTACACAATACTACACAAATACACAAAATCACTTATCTTTGTATCTCAAGGTAGCCAGGTCGATGACTAGACAGTGGTCTGTTTTCCAGAGGACTATGATGTGAGTTAACATAATGAATGCTAGGGTACGTATTTTTCAGAGGTGTTGTGTGATGAGAGTTAACATAATGAAGTGCACGGTTCCATGTTTTCAACAGAGTTGTGATGTTATGAGAGTTAACATTATGAGAGTAATAAGAGTTAACATAGTTTTTTTTTCTTCCAGAACTTATGTAACCAAAATTAACATAATGAGTCCACTATTCTGTATTTTCCACAGGGTTGTGAGGTGACCAGTGTTAACATCATGGAATGTAAGGTCCCATCCATTACTGCCCCAAACGTTAACGTCACCGAGACGAGCCCTCTAGAAGTACATTATTGGTTCAGCATGGCCAACGTGACCTCTCTAAGAAACATTTCCCACAATGCAACGTTTGGACCATTGATGTATTACCCTGACCCAACTGTGTCACACTTTGAAGAAAGTGACAAAACAAAAACTTACCAGGATATGGAGTTACTTTCTATTCAGGTTTGTGGCTGTTACAAAAACTTTAAATAGTATGAATAAATCAGTAGTAAGTAAAGTAAAGGTCCCTTTTCCATGCCTTTAGGTGTATTGGGCATATAGGGCTAGACCTATATTTTTATAGACCAATCGGCTCTTGGTGGGTGATGTGGTCAGCACCACGCCGGATGCCTTTACTTCCCAGGACTGCATCTGATAACTACTTAAGGCTGGGTTGACCTGGGAGTCAAGGTCATGTTTGAAAATAGTCTGGCTCTGTCAGGACACAAACCCACGACCTTCTGATATGCAGGCAGGCATCTAGCCAACAACGCCACAGCAACTCCCAGTAAATCAGGAGTAAAAGTTTTGTTGTTTATTTAAGCATTTTGGACTTATGGTAAGTAAGTAAATCATCCCTTTCACACCTTTAATGTATCAAACATATTTATTCTTTTTATTCTTCTTGGCGTTTATTTGTGTCTGCCATTTCTAACCCTCCAATGAAACATAGGCCCTCAACCAACTCACGGCAAGTTGTTCTATTCTTCACTATCGCATGCAACTCTCCATTTCCTCCCCGTCTTTTTAACTTCACTCTCTATCTCCCTTCCCTATGTGTTTTTTGGTCTTCTCTTATTTCTGTGCCCCTGTGGTTTCCAGTGCAAAGACATTAAAAATTTTATTTTCTCAGGTTTTCTCAATGTATGTCCTATCAAACGCCAGCATATGTTTTTTGCCTCTTGATGCACTAAAATGTGTTTATAGCTCTACATTAGTGATTCTATTATACCATTTAATTCCCTCCATTCTGCGCAGGCACCAGTTAATGAATGTATGTAGTTTATTAGTAAATGCCTTAGTTGTTCTCCATGTTTCCGCTCCATTACAACAGTATTGATTTGACATAAGAATTAAAAATGTTTAGTTAAGTAATAGTTTTAATTTCTTTTGACCTCCACCTTGGCATTCATTGGTTGTAAACTAAAGTTGAAAGCTCTGGTTGTTCATCTACTTTTGGACTTTGGTCATGATCTAGAACTTGTGTTTTGCATGAACCCAAGACTTCAACTCTTTTGCCCTGCAAAAGCTAAGATAAAGGCCCATAAACCCATAGGAATTCCCTGAAAAAAATTCTTTAAAACCAACCATTGTACACATATCAAAAAGAGTTACAAATTAATTAATCTGGGTTTAAAAAATGTCTGGAGGCATTCTATGTAATGCATTCACTGGGACCTGACCCTGTTACCTTTATCACTGAGGTTTACAGAAAGATTTGATATCAACATAGCTTTTAAAAAAAAAGCAGTTGGGGTCATACAGAAATCCTCCTAAATGCTATTTTAGTTACTATATTCATATCAAGTGCTATTATAAACAAACTCACCTAGAACCAATGGAATTTAACTGCCGTTCTCAAAAACAGGTCACTGCATCCATGGCCATATATTGGCGTTATAGAGACATGGCACAACAAGTGACTGGATTTGGGGGGGGGGGGGGGGGGGGGAGTTGAGGCAATAGGGGTAAAGTTGTCAGGCATATGTCTAGCTACTGTGGCTCCCATTATACAGATGGCATCAGGAAAACACACAAATAGCTCCTTTGTGTCTTCTTCTTCTTCTTCTTCTTCACTTCCTCTTTTACCACTGTGGGTGTCGAGGGAGATATAAGGTTCTGTTTCTAGCTCTTCTGGCTGCCTCGACCATAGGCACATTGTGCTGTTGTAGAGTTCTCTGATGTTATCCTTCCATCTTGTTCTTGGCCTACCCCGTGCTTCTAACGTCCTTCTTCTCTTCCCATGTATGCTTTGTATCTTTTTATGGTGTCACAAGGCATTTCTCTCTAAGTGGGCAAACCATTTCACTTGCTGTCTTTGTATGTAATCCAGAATTGGGTTCTGTGCCGACCTTGTATCTCTATTATGATCTCATTTCTGATCTTATCTCTTATGGTCACTCCTACAGCCCTTCTCAGACATCTCATTTCCGTGGTTACTAATTTTCTTTTATGGTTTGTTGTGAGTGACCATGTCTGGCACTGGTAGCACAGAGTTGAATAAATAATATCGCTTTGAATAAGATGTCTCTTTGTGCTGGACTGGGATTGTCCTTATGCTGTAAGAGGGGGGCTAGGTGTCCCAATACTTGGTTTGCTTTTGATGCATCTAATGTCAATTTCTTTATCCAATTTCCCATCTTTGGTAAATGTAGTTCCCAGATATTTAAACTCAGATGCCTGTTTAATGCCTTTCTATTCTATTGTTATGTTTAGATCTGTCTTCTTTTTTCCTATTGACATTACTTCTGTCTTTTCAGTGTTGATTTTCATATATTGTTTAAACATTCTTCATTCATGGATGTTAGATGTTGTTGCAATTTCATGGCTGTATCTGCTATCAAGGCCTGGTCATCTGCAAAGAGTAATTCGTTGATCTTACTAAGATCTTCATTCATGGGCTTGGCATTCTTGCATATACTGTCGATGTAGGTGATAAACAGCAGTGGTGATAAGACACACCCCTGTCTTACTCTAGATGTCACTGTGAAAGGATGAGATGTTCCCTGATTTATTCTAACTACACTTCTACAATCCCTGTATAAACTTTGCACACTTCGATGAGTGTTCGCTTACTCCATATCTTGCCATTATTTTCCATAATAATTGTCTGTCGACTCTGTCAAATGCCTTCTCCTGGTCTACGAATGCCACAAATAAGTTCTTATTGTATTCAATGTTTTTTTCTATTAACTGTTTAGTGTGAAGATTGCATCTGTGCAGCTTCTATTTCTCCTAAATCCCATCTGTTCTTCTGCCAGCTGTGGTTCTATCACTGGTCTCAGTCTTGTTTCTATTATCTTGGCATACATTTTGCCAACATGGCTTAAAAGAGAGATGCCTCGATATTGACCGCATTCTCGTTTGCTTCCTTTGTTCTTCCACAATGGTATAACTATTGCATGTTGCCAATCAATAGGGGCCGTTTGTTGTACCCATGCTGCACTGAATATTCTGTGAAGCCATCTGATGCTGCTTTCACCTGCTGCTTGAATTATTTCTGTTGGTAATCTATCAGCTCCTGGTGCTTTATATTTGGGAGACTGTTTGTGTGCTCCTTTGTGTGCCTGGGTAAATAATGTGTTTTTTAGCTGACCACTTTATTGCATTGAGGAGTGGCTGGCTGAATGGCTATAACGTTGGGCTCTTATGCGGGAGACTTGAGGTCAAATTCGTATTATAGGAAAGGAGGTTTTTCCTGTCAGGGGATTTAAAAAAAAAAATGCAAACATCCTTACCTGGTAACTGCACTAGTCATGTGGACCCAAATTTTGAGGCTTAAGATGTGCCTACTATAAACAGTAGTATATACAGACAGTAATATCAGTTTTTGAAAAAATCAGACATGCAAAATTAAACCAGACAAACAAACAAAAGTGACCTTAATAAAAGCTTATTAAAAAAACTCTTTATTGTGTTGATGTGTGACATGCTAATTCTGTTATTGGTTTTATGTTGTTGTTTACAGGGGCGGTTCCGAATGCTGAACGTCCTGGTGGCAAGTGTAAAGGTTTTTGTAGGGGATGAGGTGTGCAGTGAGACCTCGGCAAGCGACTCGGTTATTTCCTGTAAACCTCCTAGCACTACACCAAAGGGAACAGATGCCTCCGGCAAAGCACCAGTGACTGTAAGTGTTTTTTTCCCCATTACTACTCCTGTGTTTCGCCAAAATTAAGACCAGGTCTTATATTAAAATTTACTTTTAGAAATGCTATAGGATTTATTTTAGAGCAACGTCTTTTTTTTTCCAGATACAAAATCTACCTTTACTCATGTACAAAATTCTTCATTTATTCTTTCTTTTTGCTTTTACCTGCTGTAAACTTTAGCGGAAAGTTCTAGTTGTTTGTCCACTTCTGGACTCAGTCCTTTTCTAGAACCTGTTGCGTGTGCATCCATTTTACAGATCTGACTCATGTGTATGTATACTGCTGGTTCCTTGCCTGACGGGCAAATGCACTCAGACATTGAAGGAAGCTCCCAGTTAGTCGACACTTACGACATGCTTTTGGGTAGGCAGTCAGTCTATTCTTGTTTTCCCTATAGTAGGGCCCGGAACCCACACGGGGAGTTCAAAAATCTTTTTTGAGAAATTTATGGGCAAAAACCTAACCTAATATAGCAAGTGTGAAAAAATGAGCATGAAGACAAGTACAAAAAATATTACAGCTATTTTATTTTATAATTTGTTTCCGCCATTTTATGTGACCCCGGAACCGGAATTTCCAAGTGAAGCCCTGTACGAGATATTCTCTAACAACAAATCATTTGGTAAAAATCTGCTACCATTATATATCTGCTACCTTTATTTTTTTTATAAAATTATTACATAATTGGGGGAAATACAGGGTATTTATAACTAAAAGTAACGAGCGAACAAATACGGTGGAAACTTTATTTAAGTTAGTTGGTTTAAGTTAACTAGTGGAGTTTATAAATGTGTAAGATGTAGACCTTTCTATTTTCTAGCGGTACCCAACAGTGCACAACACCAGCAACTCTTTTAAGACATTTATTTTTTCAAAACTAATGTGATAGACATTTCGTGGCGAGTACCTGCACCCCCCCCCCCCCCCAAACCCTTTTAAAAAAAAATACTTTGTCGTGAGTACCAGTACCCTTTTTTCCCTTAGGAAAAAAGCCTTGGTAAGATGTATGCAATATTCAATAATCATATCAGGCATTGCTTGAGACCAAAGTAGTGAATTCTGATTACATTAGTTGTTAAATTTTTTTTTATTTACAAATGTTTATTATTTTGTCCCAAGGTGATGATTGGTAATATGAGATCAATACCTGGCTACTTGCGCTACTTCCTGCCCAGCGAGAACAGCAAACCTATCACCCTTGGGGTGGTTCTGGGTGTAGTCCTGCCTATACTGTTTATTGTGGTGCTCTTGACCATCTGTGTTCTCCGTCGCCATCGCAAACACAAGCATGACCAAAACTACATTCCTGATGTTTTGAAAGATTATGAGGGGAAGAAGGAAGGAGAGGAGGAACTGATTGGCATGGATAATATACCGATAAAAGTGGATATGAATGGTGGACAAGGTGATCCAAATTCAGGTACTTTTTGAAATCCATTAATTAGATGCAGAAATATAATAAAGGAGTTCATTTTACATTTCCCGGCCCAGTAAGAGAGTAACTTCTCTTGCCATTAATGCCTGGTCGGGTTGAGGACCTCTCCTATGTTGAGGGGGTGTCATGTTTCCCCTTATTTTCAACCTTTTAACTATTCCCTCTTTTGTCGTCTTCGCATCGCTCGCTTGCATGATTATTTTCATGTTCTTCTATCTGTGCAACGGTTCAGGACTATGGAAACAATGATATTTTACTTTTCCTACTTTCCATGTAAGTGCTTTCTTTCTCTCAGGGGAACCAGCACCAATGAACGTAGAAATACAAAAAACATCCCGGTTTTGATAGCCAAGAATTGTCGCCATGTGGCGTTCTCAACTGCAGTAGTTTTTACTTGTATCCAGGCGCCTGCGGCACCTGAAATTGACTCACGACAACACAACCTCCCACAAACATTATATACACCAAATCAAGCCATATCATAACACCCCCGCAACATACGAGAGGCCCTGCAACCGGATGAGGCATGAATGGCAAGGAAAGACTCTCTTTCTGGGCCAGGAAACATAAAATTAACCAGTAAACGTAATTGCAGTTGTTGTTATTGATTATAAATAATATTACCAAGTATCTTTTTTTGTTTTTTGTGTGCTTTTTTTTATTATGTCATCTATATGAATTCTGGGATAAATGAACATTAAACAGTATTTTAGAGGAATTAGAAAATAGTAGTGTCTAACGTGAAACTGTTTCTACTATTTTAACTGTCTCGGATGTTTTGGACCCTAAAAATACTATGATTTTGGGGAAGCTGGGGTGGGGGGGTCGGTCAATTGTGCTAAATATTACGATTAAAATACCATGTGAAAATAATTTAAAAGACAGTTTTCCATATCTTTTTTTTTTTCAAATTTTATTTTGAATTTGAGAATGCATGATAAGTGGAATTTTTATGTACACGTGTATTTCTGCAAGTAAAATTAATAATGCATAAATTTAATTAACCAGTTGTCTTATATCTGTCTGCTGCACCAGATTCAACCCCTTATATAAATGAACTCCTTGGTAAGTTCGAGGAACCTGTTCTCAAACAAAACATAGCAGCAGCCCTTATTTCTCGAAAGAAATTGGAATTTGGGGATTTAGTTGGCAAAGGTGAGTATAGTTTTAACTGTTTTTTCACCTGAAAACAGCTCTGAACTGTTTTAAAAATTATATGAGTTAGATCAGTGTTTCTCAACCTTCCTAATGCCGTGACCATTTAATACAGTTCCTCGTATTGTGGTGACCCACAACCATAACATTATTTTCATTGCTACTCCATAACTTCAATGAAAATTTGTTTCTTCGATGACCTTAGGCGACCCCTGTAAAAAGATCATCCGACCCAAAAATTGTTGCAACCCACAGGTTGAGAACCGTTGAATTAGAGTAAAACTAATAATAAATGTATTAATAAACATACTATAGGATAAATTCAAGAGGGTTAAAGAAAAAAAAAGAGATATGACTGAGCAACCACGAGTGACAGAAGATGGCGCTATATTGGACACATCTTGAGAAGAGATGATAGAATCGCCAGACAGGCACCAAAATGACAGAGAGAGTGAGGAAATGAGGAGCCAAAGTCTGTTTTTCAGATCCTAACCCATGAAATTCTGATCTGCAGGCGGGCATCTAAGTTTTGAATATGAATGTTTTCATGTGGATGACAATTTGCATACAGTATTCTTCTTCATGCAGGTCACTATGGAGCTGTTTACAAGGCAGTTTACAGGCACTCAGATTCTGACAAGCAGACAGACGTCGCTGTGAAAACATTACAAGGTGAGAGATTTAAAAACTTGGAACGTACTTCGTTTTAGCCAAAGTTTCAACATCCCTGCAATCGGGTTTCCCCGTACCTGCTCTGTTCCTGCGCCAATGGAAATCAAATTATGTGTCCCTCATTGTTGCATTTGAAAAAATGGTAAACAAACAACTAGTCCCAAAACCATGCAGAAATATGCGCACGCAGTAAATGCATATTTCAGTTGCTGGAGGCAACAAAGCCAACAATCGCCACCAGAAATGCAGTTTTTCGTTGATGGAAGTAGTCAGGCACGATAAGTTGGTTACTATACACATGTAGCATTATTACATAAGGTATTTCACTAGCAGCTGGCCGAATACCATGACACAACCGCTGAAAGGCATTCCACAGGAAAAACAGGGTTGCAACCAAGCACTAAACTCGGTAGCTCAGACAGCAAAACTGTGGACTACTGTCCATGTATGGAAACTTAGTTAGTTAGTTAGTTAGTTGGGTTATCGTCATTGCACTCCGGACATGTCCATAGGTGCTCAGATCCTCCCCTCAGTATGAACCCCAACGTCCGATGGCTAATAGTACCAGTTCTATGTTGATTAACAAGTCTTCTGACGTGTCCGGTGTGCGTCTCGTTTTTTGCTGTGCCGATCTTAATTCCCAAGTCTGCCATTCTGGCGAGTGATGTGGATTCACTGCCACCAAAGTCCTCTATCCTTCCCATTTCTCTGAGGGCATTGATAATATCAGCATGATCCATAGGCCGACCGTCGGTAGTGATAGCGGATCCAGCCAACCTGTCAGCTCTTTCATTTCCATCGACGCCTGCGTGTCCCGGAACAAAAATAAAGGTGACTCCACGCACAGTGGACTTCTGTAATGATTCAAGCCATTGTCTTCGCACTGAACCTGCCTGACCCCTCCGGATCATACTCATTGAATCACTGAGTATACATATGCGGGTGTATTTTTGTGTTTCAAGCCAGGCAAACGCTTGCGTCACTGCCATCACCTCCATCGTCATGCTGCTGGTTGTCATGGAGAAGGCACCGTTGGCTTCTTTGACTGTTCTGCCCGCTGAGCGTGCTGTAAATGCCCATGCGCTTCTTCTTTAGCGTATAACGGATCCGTCTGTGTAGATTAGTGCATCTGCTTCGTCTGAATTTTCACCGATGAGAGCGTTGACCTCTGCATTAACAGCAACAGGATTCTCTTCTCTACATCGCCTGTTGAGTGTGACAATACAGGAAAATGTACAAATAAACGCCTGAGGCACAGGTATCCATTCTGCACCAGGTATGATGTCGGTTAGGCTGCATATTTGCCTAATAACATCTTCTGCCCGACCTAGCCACGATTTTCCCCTCTTCAGTCTGTCTGTATGGAAACTGCATTAGCAAAGCGCTGTTGGAACGTACATCACTAACTATACTAATAGTGATGCAGCCTTTGTATTTTCTCAAGAGCTCTCCATGGTGAAGTTGTTAACCTTCACCTTAAAAAGCTGGAAAGCCAACACTTTCAGTTGGTGCCAATTTCCCCATAAATGTCACTTCTTTGACTTGTCTGTAGTGATCTGTTTACAAGAGGTATAGTCAATGCTGTTGGCAGAGTTTGTGCCTGCACAAACTTTTAGGAGTTCAGGATGTAACTTAATTAACCCTTTGGAGAAATAGTGGATTCTCTACAAAGTATAAAAAATAAAGCACTTAATTAACATACACAAAACTGTACATATTCATGTCATCATCAGGTGCCTTGCCGACTGGCGTGGGCGATCATGCCTCTCCATAATCCGCGATCTCCTGTATCAGTTCGTGTGCCGACACACCTCCATGCCATGCAACAAGACTGTCAAGCATCTTCTCTCGTTGTCTTCCTCTATCCCTCCTTCCACAGATCTTTCCAGTGGTCACAACATGTTCTATTTTCCCTCTTCTCATAACATGGTCGAAAAATGATGACTGTCTCCCTCTGATGTCAGTGATAAGTTGTCTTCGGTCTCCCGCCTCTTTCAAAACCTCTTGGTTGCTCTTTTTGGCTGTCCAAGGTATTCTAAGCATTCTCGTCTGTAAAACCACATCTCTGAGGCCTCTAAAAATTGTTTGGCCTGCCTACCGATTGTCCAGGATTCACATCCATATGTTTAAAACTGGATGTATGTAGCAAGCAAGAATTCTTTTTCTAACTCTCAATGACAAGGATATATTGCACAAGATGTTTTTCATTTTATAAAATGCAGTTTTTTGCCTGTCCAATTCTGTTTTTCTTATTTCAGTTATGCATCTTCCATCTGATGTTATCCATGTGCCCAGATACTTAAATTTCTGTACTTGTCTTAAAATAACACCATTGACTTTTATTACCACATTTAGAATAATTTGTTTCTTTGATACCACCATTACTTCTGTCTTCCCATTATTCAAACTGAGGCCCATTCTTCCACTTTCTAACACCACAATGTCTATCATTTCCTGTAATTCTTTCTGACTTGTTGCTATCAAGACTGTGTCATCAGCATAACGTAAATTGTTTATATTGTGCCCACCAACCACGATTCCGGGCATATCAATTAAAGATCTCATAATATATTCACTGTATATTGAAAACAAATCAGGTGAAAGTACACATCCTTGTCGTACGCCCCTCTTTATGCTTTGAAATGTACCTAAACAGTTGTTAATTCTTATAGCTGCTGTTTGCTGCCAATACATATTCTTTATTATTCTTAGATCTTTCCCATCAATGTTAAATTTTTCTAACAGTTTTGATTACTTCTTCATGCTTCACACAGTCAAATGCTTTTGTATAGTCTATGAAGCATAAGTACAAATCAGTCTTTACTTCTATAGCTCTTTCTGACAATGTCCTTAGGATGTTCATGTAGGAAAGTGAATAAGCTAACAGAATATTTATGAATCAAACTGAAATCTCAAGTATTCTGATTTGTGGAATTTATGCAAGCTTTTTTGTTGTTGTTGATTGCTTAGGAACAAACATAACTAACCTGAAAAATTTAGGTGAGTTTTTTGATTGATGAAGCCTGAATAAGTCCTAACACTTGTGTTTTGGGAAGTAAGGGCCATGGAGACCCTTCAGTTACTTCTGGCACATGGTTCTACCCCTTTTCCTGCCTCCTGCTTTGTTTCAGACGCCGAGGGGGGGAGGGGGGGGGGGGGGGTTCATTGAGCTAAATGTTTTTTTAAAAACCAAGTTGATGTCAAATTTTCTTGTAAGCCTCACAATATCCATGTTTATTTTTAGGCCCTAGGGAATGTATTCAATTCATTGTTTCACTTTATTCATGTTTATCTGTTGACATATTGTTACATATTTTGAAAATTAATTTTAAAATGTACATAAAAACATTATAAACTATTTTATTAAAGACATTATGTAAACATTCTTTTATAGATTTTTCATCTGGAATTATAATTCAGTGGTTAGTTAGTTAGTCTTTCCTCACAAGCCTAGGGCGGCGCAAGAGGCAGAGGTCATAGCTCTCCTTGTCTGGCCGTTTGTTGTCACCTGTTTTAGGTCTAGGATTTTCATAAGGCCCATGGTTGAGCCTTTTCTGGTGATGGTTCTCAGTAAGGTGTCTCTTGCCTTTCCCGTTTTCTTTTTCCTTCTGGTGTCTATATGTGTGCTTGATGGTGGAGTCTGTGGTCTTATTGATTCTGAGTGCATGGCCGATGTAGTTCCAGCTGTATAGTGACTTGTTTTTTTTTTTTAGTGTTTCCGGGGCGAAAAGGTTAAGCCTATTGGTCTTGTGCTCTGAAGGTTGTTTTGAAGGTCAAAACCCTGTCCTTCAGTTTGCGAGTGCCCGTTTATATTGGGAATCTGTGCTGGAGCTAGAGTGTGTGCTTGTGGAACCCACTGCCAGCCAGCAACCATCCACTTTGTGGAGAGAGACCAAGCAATGAAGTCAACATTTTCACTTCTAAACATCATTTATTGCTTTCTTTGAATCAGCTTTAGACAATGTTCTTGTGCTTCTTTTTAGTATTCACCGGCTGTAAACTCTGGTGGGAAGTTAGGGTTGTTGGTCAAATCCTGGACTTAGGTCTTGATCCAGAACTTGAGTTTTGCATGCACATCAGTTTTACATATATGACTTATTTTGTATTCAGACTGTTGGTTCCTTGCCTCTGAGGCAGATTTACTCTAATTTTAAAGAAAACATCCCTAGTTAGTCGCCTCCTACAACAAGATTGTTGGGGTGGTGGAAGGTGGCCCATTGGGTCTGTTCTTTGTTCTCCAAAATAGTTGCCCCAGAACCCACACGTGGAAGACTGCTCACAGTTTATTACTGACAAACTTGTAGTATGGACAATATTGTATTTTAACTAAATTTGTAATTGACAGCTCGCAGGTGTGAAGCTGAGGCAGTACAACAGTTTCTGCAAGATGTGGCTATGGTGCGTGATTTATCACACCCACATCTGCTGCGGGTCGTTGGTGCCACAGTTAGCCCCAGTGATGATCCCATTGTCGTAATGCCCTTCATGGCAACAGAAGATCTGGGCACATATGTCCGAGAACCTGCCAAGGTAACCACGTGCAGCTTTCTTGTTAGTAGAAGCTAAATATAATCATAAGTCTGTGTGTTTACTTAATTTGCATCTTTCCAGACTACAGTGTTATTTTGCCCTATGTAGAGAAACATGGTGGACTCACAACCCATGGCGAACACGAGTGGGACTAGCAAGACCCGCTTGCATTAAGAAAAGTCTTCCGCAATTACAGCATGTGATTTGGGACTGTTGTCGACATTTGTGTTTAATCCGTTTCATCTCAGATGCTCAGCTCTCATTCTTTCTGCATTCCTTCATTCTTATTTCCTTCCTGATGTGCATGGGTGGTGTCTTTAGTATTAACTTTTCAATGCTAAATTGTTTACAAATGACATAAATTTTGCGTGTTATCTATTCTACAAATGCAGAACTTGACAAAAACAAACACATTGAAAAAGTGATATTTTTGTCACAAATTGGAAAAAATGCAGTATAGTTAACAAATTCTAGACAGTGAGTAAGTGATGACAAAAACTAGCACTGGATAAGATACGCATTGAGAAAGCCTCATAATAGTCTAATTAGAATTTCATTTGTGGAACCCACAAGGTTTCAAATCACTTGATGTGTTGAGTTGATTCAAAAACTGACATCACAGCACTCAGGGCATACCTGGAGGGGGCGATGGAGGCAGAAAATTGAAGGAAGACTTGTGTGAAGGTATATACTTCATTTGAGAAATAAAACCTGACATAGCACTCTCTTGTCAACAGATAAAGAAAATAATCAGATCAATCAGAAAGCCACCAAAAACTTGCACAAGATGATTATCATAATAAGGACACACCAAAGCAAGTCATCCTACACTTTAGAAAAGGATACAGTCGACTTTGCAGCCACATGTACACAATTTAAGATTGGCAAATCAGCCATGTGTACAGGTGGACTGGCACCTGAGACAACAGATCACGTCCTCCAAGACTGTCCCAAATACAACATATCAAGGCAAAACATTCGGCCAAAGAAACATTGGTGCAAGCCAAACTTTACGGGTAACTGAGTGAATTACAACAGACAGTGAAGCTCATTTTAGAGACAACATTGCAGATATAGACAATTTAATTCAAGCGAACGAAAGAAGAAGAAGAAGATTTAAGAAATCATCATCAAGTTGGACTATTTTCTAGAAAATATGATGCCAGAACTACCCACAAAGTCTAAACTCAGCCCCAATATGGGACACAGTTTTTTGGTTTTTTTCAAAAGCCCCACCCCGACCGTTGCCAGGAATCCTAATATAACCTAACTATTTAATGGTGTTTCTGGGACTTTCACCTGGGGGAATCCTCATTGGTAGAAAAATAAGGGACAAAAACAGAATGACTGATGACAGGAAGATTGCAGTCTTTAACTGACATATTGATGTTCTTGCTTACAGTGTTTAAATCTAGCAGATTTGTTGATATACTGTCACCAAATAGCTGATGCAATGTCGTATCTGGAGAATCTACGCATTGTTCATAGGAATCTGGCCGCTAGGAACTGTATGTAAGTATTCTACCCACCCACCTCCCCAGTATATGTTGCTTTTTAACACGATGCCCGTTATCTTTTGATATCTATCTCACATAACTATTTATTAAATCTGCTTTACTTTGCCATTAAAAGTTAACATAAATACATGGGTATAGGCCGCACCCAGTTTCTGAGGCGATAATTTTAGGTAACAATAATTTTCTTAGAATTTTGTTGAGAGACTAAAATCAAAACAAAAGTACCTGTAAGCAAGTAAAGATGGGCAGCATAAGAGCAAGTTACAGATGTAAATTTAAGTTGCAAGTAACGTGTTTTATGTGCAAGAAAATAGAAACAGAGCAGCTGGAAGGAAGTTTGATGTGGATAAGAAAAATATGTGAAGATGGATTGGAATGAAAGATGCTTTTAAAAAAAAAAAATTCCAAAGGGGACAATCTTCCCATATGCCCGCTGCGCCTAAGGCGTGGAAAGGGATTTTTACTTTTTACCTTTCTATCATTTGCTTAATGGATGACGTAACAATGACCCAAATTACAAATATAATTTGTTGTTGTTGTAAATATAATTATACCAACCATGTGTACACTCTATGCAGCTGCTACCAGCACCAACACTGTTATACAGGCATAGTGGCCTCTGCCTAGAGACAACATGCCATAAAAAAAAAAAAACCCAAACAAGCCTAGGTATCGGCATCTACAGGTAAAGATGGGTAATTGTTAAGTTGAACTGAGTCAAGAATTAACATCACAGCACTCGGGGCATTCTCATGTGTGCTCCGTCCTCATCTTCAGCAGCCAGCGCAGAGTTTCAATACTGATAATACCGGTCACAATCTGGTTATATCTCTTTCCTCTCAACACTGAACCATCTGTATAGATAGTCAGATCACCTGGGCGTGAATTGTCGTGAATCAACTGTTGGACTTCCACCTCCGAAGCACCTGCTGGCCACTCTCTGCACTCCTGGCCCAATGTGATGGTTGACTGTTAATACACCTTACTTTCAATATTATTATACAACTTTATTCATTCAAGATCAAAATGATTCAGCTCAGTTCAGTAAATGTTTTGTGCTATCTGCAGAATTTTAGAAGAAGATGGAAAGCCAGCATCAATTAGGTTGACAGATTATGTCGTCACTTCCAGCTTGTTTCCAAAAGAATTCTACGTAGGAGAGGATGGAGTGTCTGATCTTGTCCGATGGATGGCACCTGAAGCAGTGGAGAATTTCACATTTTCTTCCCATTCAGATGTGGTTAGTTGTACTAAACATTTCACTTTATTATCCCATTCAGATGTAGTTAGTTATACTAAACATGTCACTTTATTATCCCATTCAGATATGGTTAGTTATACTAAACATTTCACATTATTATCCCATTCAAATTTTGTTAGTTAAACTAAACATTTCACATTATTATCTCATTCAGATGTGGTTAGTTGTACTAAACATTTCACTTTATTATCCCATTCAGATGTGGTTATATACTAAACATTTCATTTCACATTATTATCTCATTAAGATGTGTTAGTTTGTACTAAACATTATTATCTCATTAAGATGTGGTTAGTCGTACTAAACATTTCACATTATTATCTCATTCAGATGAGGTTAGTCGTACTACACATTTCACATTATTATCTCATTCAGATGTGGTCTCATACAATGCACTTTTGGTCCATTTTAGTTCATACTGAGACCTCTCATCAGTTCATACTAAGACCTCTCATCAGTTCATACTGAGACCTCTTATCAGTTCATACTGAGACCTCTTATCAGTTCATACTGACCTCTTATCAGTTCATACTGAGACCTCTCATCAGTTCATACTGAGACCTCTCATCAGTTCATACTAAGACCTCTCATCAGTTCATACTAAGACCTCTCATCAGTTCATACTGAGACCTCTTATCAGTTCATACTGAGACCTCTTATCAGTTCATACTGAGACCTCTCATCAGTTCATACTAAGACCTCTCATCAGTTCATACTGAGACCTCTCATCAGTTCATACTGAGACCTCTTATCAGTTCATACTGACCTCTTATCAGTTCATACTGAGACCTCTCATCAGGTTGTGCAGAGACCTCTCATCAGGTCATACAGAGACCTCTCATCAGGTCATACAGAGACCTCTCATCAGGTCATACAGAGACCTCTCATCAGGTCATACAGAGACCTCTCATCAGGCCATACAGAGACCTCTCATCAGGTCATACAGAGACCTCTCATCAGGTCATACAGAGACCTCTCATCAGGTCATATTTTTCTGGGCTTGAAAACATAATTTATAAAAAAAAAAAAAAAATTCTGGCGCATTAAAAAAGAAGAAAATATATTGCATTTGTTATGATTTCTTTATTTGCAGTGGTCATATGGTGTCGTGATGTGGGAAGTGTTAACGCGAGGAGTGGAACCTTACCCTAACTCACGGCCCGCTGGGGTCATCACATTGATCAAACAAGGAAAAAGGCTTTCTAAGCCAAGACAGTGTCCAGAGAATGTGTAAGTGTTTGTTGTGGAGTTAATAACTGATCGTGGGAGAAAGTGTTGAGAGAATGTGTGAGTGTATAACTGACCATGTGAGAAAGTGTTGAGAGAATGTGTGAGTGTATAACTGACCATGTGAGAAAGTGTTGAGAGAATGTGTGAGTGTATAACTGACCATGTGAGAAAGTGTTGAGAGAATGTGTGAGTTTATAACTGACCATGTGAGAAAGTGTTGAGAGAATGTGTGAGTGTATAACTGAACATGTGAGAAAGTGTTGAGAGAATGTGTGAGGTAATAACTGACCATGTGAGAAAGTGTTGAGAGAATGTGTGAGTTTATAACTGACCGTGTCAGAAAGTGTTGAGAGAATGTGTGAGTTTATAACTGACCGTGTCAGAAAGTGTTGAGAAAATGTGTGAGTCTATAACTGACAGTGTGAAAAAGTGTTGAGAGAATGTGTGAGTTTATAACTAACCCTTTGAGAAAGTGTTGAGAGAATGTGTGAGTTTATAACTGACCACGTGAGAAAGTGTTGAGAGAATGTGTGAGTCTATAACTGACCATGTGAGAAAGTGTTGAGAGAATGTGTGAGTTTATAACTGACCATGTGAGAAAGTGTTGAGGGAATGTGTGAGTCTATAACTGACCATGTGAGAAAGTGTTGAGAGAATGTGTGAGGTAATAACTGACCATGTGAGAAAGTGTTGAGAGAATGTGTGAGGTAATAACTGACCATGTGAGAAAGTGTTGAGAGAATGTGTGTCTATAACTGACCATGTGAGAAAGTGTTGAGAGAATGTGTGTCTATAACTGACCATGTGAGAAAGTGTTGAGAGAATGTGTGTCTATAACTGACCATGTGAGAAAGTGTTGAGAGAATGTGTGTCTATAACTGACCATGTGAGAAAGTGTTGAGAGAATGTGTGTCTATAACTGACCATGTGAGAAAGTGTTGAGAGAATGTGTGTCTATAACTGACCATGTGAGAAAGTGTTGAGAGAATGTGTGTCTATAACTGACCATGTGAGAAAGTGTTGAGAGAATGTGTGTCTATAACTGACCATGTGAGAAAGTGTTGAGAGAATGTGTGAGTCTCTAACTGACCATGTGAGAAAGTGTTGAGAGAATGTGTGAGGTAATAACTGACCATGTGAGAAAGTGTTGAGAGAATGTGTGTCTATAACTGACCATGTGAGAAAGTGTTGAGAGAATGTGTGAGTGTATAACTGACCATGTGAGAAAGTGTTGAGAGAATGTGTGTCTATAACTGACCATGTGAGAAAGTGTTGAGAGAATGTGTGAGGTAATAACTGACCATGTGAGAAAGTGTTGAGAGAATGTGTGTCTATAACTGACCATGTGAGAAAGTGTTGAGAGAATGTGTGAGGTAATAACTGACCATGTGAGAAAGTGTTGAGAGAATGTGAGTCTATAACTAACCATGTGAGAAAGTGTTGAGAGAATGTGTGAGGTAATAACTGACCATGTGAGAAAGTGTTGAGAGAATGTGTGTCTATAACTGACCATGTGAGAAAGTGTTGAGAGAATGTGTGAGTGTATAACTGACCATGTGAGAAAGTGTTGAGAGAATGTGTGAGGTAATAACTGACCATGTGAGAAAGTGTTGAGAGAATGTGTGAGTTTATAACTGACCGTGTCAGAAAGTGTTGAGAGAATGTGTGAGTTTATAACTGACAGTGTGAAAAAGTGTTGAGAGAATGTGTGAGTTTATAACTAACCATGTGAGAAAGTGTTGAGAGAATGTGTGAGTTTATAACTGACCACGTGAGAAAGTGTTGAGAGAATGTGTGAGTCTATAACTGACCATGTGAGAAAGTGTTGAGAGAATGTGTGAGTTTATAACTGACCATGTGAGAAAGTGTTGAGAAAATGTGTGAGTCTATAACTGACCATGTGAGAAAGTGTTGAGAGAATGTGTGAGTTTATAACTGACCATGTGAGAAAGTGTTGAGGGAATGTGTGAGTCTATAACTGACCATGTGAGAAAGTGTTGAGAGAATGTGTGAGATAATAACTGACCATGTGAGAAAGTGTTGAGAGAATGTGTGTCTATAACTGACCATGTGAGAAAGTGTTGAGAGAATGTGTGAGTCTCTAACTGACCATGCGAGAAAGTGTTGAGAGAATGTGTGAGTTTATAACTGACCATGTGAGAAAGTGTTGAGAGAATGTGTGAGTTTATAACTGACCATGTGAGAAAGTGTTGAGAGAATGTGTGAGTCTCTAACTGACCATGCGAGAAAGTGTTGAGAGAATGTGTGAGTTTATAACTGACTATATGGAGAAGTGTTTGCAATTTTTCTCATATATATTTGTACTCCTTACATTTAGTCAGAACGTACTAAAGAAACCTGGTAAAATATGTTATATTTAGGTGAAAATGATGCATGTATGATTTGTATGATTTAGCTACTGTCAAAAAAAAAAAATACTAGAGATGTGTACATGTACAAAAAGAGTACAATATATTCATGAAAACATTTGGGAAGTTAACCCAGTCAAAAAATGCTCAAAGAAGTCGGATGTGTTGTCAGGAAGGTGCAAATATCACAACTTTGCTTAAACAGGCACAATGCAGTTACATCATTCAGATGAATTTAAAAAAAACAAGATTCAAATGGTCTAAGGCTGGGAGTTGAGCTGAGTTGAGTCGGGAATTGACATCACAGAACTCGGGGCATTTCCATGCATGCTCCGTCCTCATCTTCAGCAGCCAGCGCAGAGTTCCAATATTGATTGTACCAGTCACAATTTGGACAGATGTCTGTCTTGCCTTTCCTCTGAGTGTAGTGAGCCAGCCAGACCCTCAGGTTACACACAAGTGTCTCATTCTCTCCAGGCTGGGAATGATAGTTGAATTAATTAATAAAAGGAATAAAAAAGAAAATGAAATGTTTTGGTAACATAAAAAGACATGGAATGCTGATAAAAGCAATACTTGAGGAAACAGATTTGTATAGCAAATGACCAAAACAGGGGGAAAAACCATAAAGCCAGATCTTTTTACACTGTGCAGATCAAATAAAAAAATAAAAAAAATTAAGCGATGGCTGAAATTTAGAGGAAGATCCAGTACACGCCATTCGTTGTTTGAGACTGAAAGAATTAATGTAACAACTAGGCAGAAGAGAAGGAGCGCAGAAAAGATTCAATATCTCTATTGATGGACATAAGCTAAGAGTAACTAAACAAAAAATCATGAGTTTGGTACAGAAAGGTTTTATTCTTAAGTACTTTATTATAACTGGGGAGCCGGCATGGCATAGCGGCTAGACGCTCGCGTACAGATCAGAAGGTCGTGGGTTTGCTTGCTGGCGGAGCCAGACTTTAAAAATGACCTTTACTCCCAGCTTGACCCAGCCTTGAGTGGGTACCGGGTGCATTTCTGGCAAGTAAAGGTGGCTGGCATGATGCTGACCACATCACCCATCTTGTGCCGATTGTTCTATACAAATATAGGTCTAGCCCTATATGCCCTATACGCCTAAAGGCGTGGAAAAGGGACCTTTACTTATTGATAGGCATAAGCAAAGAATAACTAAACAAACAATCATGAGTTTGGTACACAAAGGTTGTAATCTTAAGTATTTAATTATAATTAAGACCTTAAGGTTTGAATCCACATCAGGTTTGATTTTGTCAGAACTGACCATTGCTCCCAAACCGACCCAGCCTGAAGTGGGTACCTGGTAAAGTCCTGGGAGAGTAAATATGGTCAGCTTGATGTTGACCGCAACACCTTTTGAGTACCAGTAGGTCTAGATAAACATAAGTTTAGCATCCAATTAGTGAGGGACCACTGGCATAAACAGGGTCCGGGCAGCTGCCTGGTTTCGAGGCATGGTGTCCTCCTAGAGGTTCCAGGTTCAATACCTGGTTAGGGCTGGGATTTGTTCACCTGCACTTAGACTTCTAGTAATTCCCCCTGATCTCTGGGTAGTGAGATCAGATGCCCGTGTGCATTGTTTTGCAGGTAAAAAATCCCTTGGATGTTGGAAATTGAAAAGAGTAGCCTAAAGGTGCTGCCCGGGCAAAATTTGCAGTTAAAAATCTGCCTAAAGTATTTCAGGGTCCTCACCGGTGCTACAGAGCCTGTGCACTGTGTTGAGCTACTTTGGACTCAGACTTGAGTTACAAGAAGAACGGAGCAGTTATAGGTTACTACCCGTGTGCCATGATGTTGATCTGTTGTTCAAAACATCAAACCTCAAACAGGGTCTCTCCTCTTTTTCTTTTTTTTTTCCTTTTTTTTTTTTCTTCTTTTCCTCCTCCTTCTTTCTTTCTTTCTTTCTTTCTTTCTTTCTTTCTTTCTTTCTTTCTTTCTTTCTTTCTTTCTTTCTTTTCTTTCTTTCTTTCTTTCTTTCTTTCTTTCTTTCTTTCTTTCTTTCTTTCTTTCTTTCTTTTCTTTCTTTCTTTCTTTCTTCTCTTTCTTTCTTTCTTTCTTTCTTTCTTTCTTTCTTTCTTTCTTTCTTTCTTTTCTTTCTTTCTTTCTTTCTTTCTTTCTTTCTTTCTTTCTTTCTTTCTTTCTTTCTTTCTTCTTTCTGTTGTCTGTCTGTCTGTCTGTCTGTCTGTCTGTCTGTCTGTCTGTCTGTCTGTCTGTCTGTCTGTCTGTCTGTCTGTCTGTCTGTCTGTCTGTCTGTCTTTCTTTCTTTCTTTCTTTCTTTCTTTCTTTCTTTCTTTCTTTCTTTCTTTTTTTTATCAGTTTAATAATTCTGCATTCACTGCATGTCTGAAGATCAGATTTGAACTGTAGTCACAGGGCTATTGTTTTTTTCCCCAGTTATCAGATAATTCTCACCTGCTGGGCTTTGCCTCCTCAAAAACGACCAACATTTGTGCATTTGTTAGAACAGCTCAGCCCTTACGTTGTGGCAGGGGACCAAGATGGATGGCTAGAGTCGCAGCCCTTGGCGGCTTCAGTTGACATAGGGGGCGCTGATGAATACAAGGATCTGTCAGGCTGAAGCTGCAAGGAAATTAGTTCCGTTCTGTTATTTGGTTTTCTCGACAAACCCATTTTGTTATTTCAAAGGTACCTGTGGATGAAGAAGTGCACTTTGCATAGTGATGTGAGAATGATAAAAAACAAACAAACAAAAACAATGTCTGACACCCACATGGGTTTATCAAAACTGGACAAGCACCATTTTCTGGAGGAAGTGGGACACTATGTACTCACATAATACTGTTGGACTAACACCAGTATTATCAATGTTTCTGACATGTATTGTTGGTAGCAACAGATATCTTGCACACAGTTAGTGCAAATGTGAATTAGGAACCATATTTTGTAGATTAACTTATTTGTTTTATAATTTGACAATTGATTATAATAAAGTAATTTAGATGTTCATAATTGGGAGTAATAAAACACATTTTACCTAAACAATTTAGATACAGTGTAAATTAGAGAAGACATTCTCAATTTTTCTTATCTTTTATTTTACTGTGAGCAATAATTGGTCCAATTACATATTTCAGTCAGTTTTTTAACATGTGTTTGGTATAGATAAGACATATAAAGGAAATGTTATGAGGAAAATATAAAAGAACTGAGTAAGTTCATTAAAGTTTTCATGTTTTTGTGTTGAGATCGAAACAATTCTGACACTTTTCTCTCTATGCACAGTTAAAATGATTTTTTAAGACTAGCATTTATTCTGTCATGTTTTTTTGTTTTTTGTTCAAATTTTCAAAAAATTTAGTATTTATTTTAGTTCACAGAGAAGGCTCCTTTCTTTGAACTAAAAGCATTTAAATGTGTGAATTGTTCTGTAGTTTTTCTAGGCATTTTTTTTCCTGGGACTTCTCTTGTTTTAAAAATTATTTTTTATCAAATCAGCATTTGAACTACCAGGAAAATGCCAAGTGCAATAAATTGATCCCCTACATCATTTCCCTTTTTCCCCCCCAATATTAAACCTAGGGTCCAGTATTTGCCATGCTTTTTTGTCATATTGTTTTTGACTGGATGAATGATTCAAAGCTGTGTTTTTCCATTGTGAATCGAAATAATTAGGAAACAAACAATGGCTATCCTCCGAATAACGGTCGGTAAAGATGGCAGCCGCAAAATATCCTTTCAAACCACAGTCACGTGTTAATTGCGCACTTCTGGCAACTTAATTTGCAGTTCTCCAGCGGTTTTCCGGCGACTACTGCCACCGCCACGAGTCCCCCTAAACTAGATGGCTAGAACCCACGAACAGCAGCTTCCGAATCTCCTGAAGCTTTGCTCGTGAGTCCTAGCCATCTAGTTTAGCCTCTGTCCACGTCGCGTGAGCGGTGTGGGGGACTCGTGGCGGTAGTCGCCGGAGAACCGCAAATTAGGTCACGTGACTGGCTCAAAAGGATATTTTGCGGCCGCCATCTTTACCCACTTTTTCGGAGGATAGCCCAAACAATATACAGCGAAAAATGCCAGGCAATAAAATATGCAATATATTGTTTGTCTTTTCATTATTTTGATGAATGATTGTTGGAAATTAGTATTTTTATTTGCAGACATTGGGTAAAGTAAAGATCCCTTTTTGCACCTTTAGGCGCATTGGGCATATGGGAAGAGCATCCATATTTTTACAGACCAATCGACAGACAGTATGATATGTAAATGTTCGATATGCCAATAAGGAGACTGTTTTCCCTGTAATAAATAATTTCAAGGTTGAATCATGTTCATTTTTATTTTTCTATTTATTTATTATTTTTGGCAAATTCTCAAGATTACAGTGTGCCAACACAACCAAAAAAAAAAAAAACATGCATTCAGTGTATTTGATTTGATAACTACTGTTCTTTACGGAATTATTTTTTGATTGGTGGATGTACAGAAAAGGACTAGGCCATCCATCTTAGATCAGAGAGGACGTGAAATGTTAGCTACTGATCATGATCAGAGAAAATATTTATATATGTATGGATACCACCAGTGATGAAGTGTGTCATATAAACATTTAAAACATCGGCATTTATGAATGACATTCTTTTAACAACAAAGATGGGGAAAATGAAATTGTACAGACATGTTAAAAAACAAATTTGTCAGTAATAGCAAAGGACTTTTTTACACACCTTCAGGCATTAAGGGCTTATAGGGCTAGACCTTTATTTGATAGATCTATTGGAATTTGTTGGGTGATGAAGTCAACATCATGCTGGCTGCCTTTACTTCCCAGGACTATATATGGTACCTATTTATGCCTGGGATGACCTGGGAACCAAGGTCATTTACATTTTTGTTTTTAAGTCCGGCTTTGTCAGGAGCTGAAGCCATGATCTTTCAATCTGCAGGCAAGTGTCAGCCACTACACCGCGACGGTTTCCCCGTCAGTAACAGTATGGACATGTAACAAGATATATTGGCCTCTCCAAAGTGATACTACTGGGCTAGGCAGAAGTGAAGAGAAAAAGAGCCAAACAAAGAAAGACGTGGATACAAAATTTGGCTGGTTGGAAACGTCTCAAATATACAAATGTCACATCCATTGTATCTGACTAACAGAGGTAGAGGAAACTGAACAGTCAACAGTAACTGATGACCCAATGACATAAAGAGTTATAGATATTCAATGATGATGATACATGGACAGTGTCCTCTGTCTGTCAGTAAAATAATAATTAAGCTGGCCAATCAAATCAGGAAAGATACACAAACACCACACTGGTAACCTTACACAGCACATGAAACTAACTCAGAAAGAGGCATACAGGAAGTTGAAAGTTTGAAGAAGAGTAACAGAAAGGGCAACACAAAGAGGATAAAAACAGAAGAAAAAAAAAAACTACTTCATTTAAAAAAAAAAAAAAACCTAGCTCAACCTGGGCAGTTTGGAAGGGAAGAATAATACCAGCTAGCCTAGTGAGGTAGCACAGCGAAGATCAAAATCTGTTCTTGAATTTAAAGAATACGAAAATAATGTCCACAGATAAAACTGGCTGTCACCCAAAAAAAAAACAATAAATGATGAAGAAATTGAAAATGTCACAAACTTTGAATACCTAGGCTCTATAATAAACAGCAATGGAGACTGTTCGACAGAAATTAAAAGGAGGATGGCCATAGCAATGCAAAGATTGAACAGCCTTAAAAGTCTATGGTTAAGCACCAGCAAGGAGATGAAAATTAGAATTTTGGGAGCATGCATCTTCCCTGTGGCTACATACGGATGTGAGTCGTGGACTATCTCTCAGTCCTTAAGAAAGAAAATAGGGACTTTTGAGCTGAAATGCTATAGAAAGATTCTCTGAATATCTTGGATAAAAAAGAGGAGAAATATTGACATTATAAAAAGATCTGAACATCAAGGAAGATTGGCTAATAAACAGCATCCTTTCTCGGAAGCTGAAATATTTTGGTCATATCAAACGCCACGACGGATTGGAAAAAATTATAGCAGAAGGCATGGTATCAGGAAGGAGGGGCAGGGGCCAACCGACACCAAGATGGGCACAGGATATAAGTGACTCCTTGAGTATGAAAGTACATGAGGCAGGAGTACTGGTGAGAGACAGAGTTTCTTTCAGGCAGACTGTAATGAGAGCGACGTTTTGCAAAGGACCTGCTACATGATGATGAGCCTAGTGAGGAAAAGTATGACTTGACTGTTACAACGGGAATAAATGAACCATTTCACCCCAGGAACACTAAAAACAAAATAGATCATGACCCCAAAAGAATCCCCCCAAAAAACAGCCTTAAGGAAAAAAAAACAGTGTTACAATCTTTGGACCCATCAAAGATGCTAACAACAGGGAATGGAGAGTGAGAAGCAACAACGAAATTCATCATCTGTTTAAATCACCATTGATCACTGGTATCATGAGAGCTAATAGACTGAAATAGTTGGGGCATATTGAGAGAATGTCAGATGACAGAGAAGTAAAAACTGTACACACAAGGGAAATCAATGCTCGTAGACCATGAGACAGACCAAGGAGACGACGGAGAGATAATGTCCAGACAGACCTGCAAACACTTGGTGTCACCAACTGGAAAGTGAGGGCCAACCAGAGAGATGAATGAAGGCGGGTGATATATGCAGCAATGAACCTCAAGGGTTTGGAATGCCGAAGAAGAAGAATGTTACACATGTTCAGATTTTTAAAAATGTGTTTATCTACATTTTAATAAAAACCACCACATATACGTATATGTATGAAAGGAGTAATTATTAACACAATCAAGGTTAAGCATTACGTGGAGTACATTCCCTAAGGCTTGAAAGAAACAAATGTATTGGATGACTCATGCTGTGTCACACTGACCTCCACTACTGAGGCTTCGGGAAACTTTCATCGGCTGGGCTTTAAAATGCATTTAACTCAAAGGACACCACCTCCCCTGAATGCTATTGTTAGTTTATATATGTATATCTGACCTCCTAAGAGTTTGTTAGGGCATTGAATGTGTGTCTCATGAACAGATCACCATAGACAAATAATTTTTTTATATTTTTATTTTCAAGTTATCGCAACCCTTCGGCCTTGATTCCATGAAGGATACCGTAAATCTGGGGAGAATGTGGCTTTTCTGAAAAGTGAAACAACTCATCTTCACAATATCACACAAATAACAAGTGAATATTGTGGAAAGCCACTAGGGCTGACAATGCACTGTATGTTTTAATTAAATTGTTTAAAGTCAACTGTTAACAGTAATAGCATAAGAAACAACTTTTATCCAATAATTTTTTATACCCCCCCCCCCCCCCCCCCCCCCTCAAAGTTAAGGATCCTTTTTCATGCCAGTAGGCGTATAGGGCTCCAAGAAGTCACTTATATCCTTTGTCCATCTTCTTGTTGGCCCCTGCCCCTCCTTCCTGGTACCAAGCAAGCTGCTATTTTTCCAGTCCACCAGGGCAGAATGTCAATATTTCTTCTCTTTTTCATCCTTGGAAAATAACACAGATATTACTTTATTTTTGGCTTAAGAAATTACACTAAGGCTCATTCTCAGGATATATCT